CAAGGTTGAAATAAAGGAGAAAATACTAAGGGCAGCCAGAGAGAAAGGTCGGGTCACCCACAAAGAAAAGCCCATCAGACTCACAGCAGATCTCTCGGCAGAAACACTACAAGCCAGAAGAGAGTGGGGGCCAATATTCAACATCCTTAAAGAAAATAACTTTCAACGAAGAATTTCATATCCAGCCAAACTGAGCTTCAGAAGTGAAGGAAAAATAAACTCCTTTGCGAACAAGCAAGTACTCAGAGATTTTGTCACCACCAGGCCTGCTTTACAAGAGCTCCTGAAAGAGGCACTACACATAGAAAGGAACAACCAGTACCAGCCATTCCAAAATCACACTAAATGCTAAAGAGCATCACCATAATGAAGAATCTACAACAACTAACGGGCAAAACAGCCAGCTAGCATCAAAATGTCAGTATCAAATTCACACATAACAATATTAACCCTAAATGTAAATGGACTAAATGCACCAATCAAAAGACACAGACTGGCAAATTGGATAAAAATCCAAAACCCATCAGTGTGCTATATCCAGGAAACCCATCTCACATGCAAGGATACACAAAGGCTCAAAATAAAGGGATGGAGGAAGACTTACCAAGCAAATGGAGAGCAAAAAAAAGCAGGAGTTGCAATTCTCATCTCTGATAAAATAGACTTTAAAGCAACAAAGATCAAAAGAGACAAAGAAGGCCATTACATAATGGTAAAAGGATCGATACAACAAGAAGAGCTAACGATCCTAAACATATATGGACCCAATACAGGAGCACCCAGATACATAAGGCAAGTTCTTAATGACTTACAAAGAGACTTAGACTCCCACACAATAATAGTGGGCGACTTTAACACTCCACTGTCAATATTAGACAGATCAACCAGACAGAAAATCAACAAGGATATCCAGGGCTTGAACTCAGACCTGGAGCAAGCAAACCTGATAGACATTTACAGAACTCTCCACCCCAAATCCACAGAATATACATTCTTCTCAGCACCACATCACACCTACTCTAAAATTGACCACATAATTGGAAGTAAAGCACTGCTCAGCAAATGCAAAACAACTGAAATCATAACGAACAGCCTCTCAGACCATAGTGCAATCAAGTTAGAACTCAGAATTCAGAAACCAACCCAGAACCGCACAGCTTCATGGAAACTGAACAACTGGCTCTTGAATGTTGACTGGATAAAAAATGAAATGAAGACAGAAATAAAGAAGTTCTTCGAAACCAATGAGAACGAAGACACAACATGCCAGAATCTCTGGGACACATTTAAAGCAGTCTCTAGAGGAAAGTATATAGCAATAAGTGCTCATATAAGAAGAATGGAGAGATCCAAAATTGACACCCTATCATCAAAATTGAAAGAGCTAGAGGAGCAAGATAAAAAAAACTCAAAACCCAGCAGAAGACAAGAAATAACTAAGATCAGAGTTGAACTGAAGGAGATAGAGACACGAAAAACCCTTCAAAAAAATCAATAAATCCAAGAGCTGGTTTTTTGAAAAGATCAACAAAATAGACCACTAGCCAGATTGATTAAAAAGAAAAGAGAGAACAACCAAATAGATGCAATAAAAAATGATAAAGGGGAAATCACCACAGATTCCACAGAAATTCAAACCATCATCAGAGAATATTACAAACAACTCTATGCACATAAACTAGTAAACCTGGAAGAAATGGATAAATTCCTGGACTCTTGTGTCCTCCCAAGCCTAAACTAGGAGGAAGCTGAAACTATGAATAGACCAATAACAAGGGCAGAAGTCGAGGCAGCAATTAAGAGCCTACCACACAAAAAAAGCCCAGGTCCAGACGGGTTCCCAGCCGAATTCTACCAGACACACAAAGAGGAGCTGGTACCATTCCTTCTGAAACTATTCCAAATAATCCAAAAAGAAGGAATCCTTCCCAAATCATTTTATGAGACCAATATCATCCTGATACCAAAACCTGGCAGAGACCCAACAAGAAAACTTCAGGCCAATATCCATGATGAACATAGATGCAAAAATCTTCAATAAAATATTGGCAAGCCGATTGCAACAGCAAATCAAAAAACTTATTCATCATGATCAAGTAGGATTCACCCCGGGGATGCAAGGATGGTTCAACATACGCAAGTCTATCAACATAATTCACCACATAAACAGAACCAAAAACAAAAACCACATGATTATCTCAATTGATGCAGAGAAGGCATTCGACAAAATTCAACAGCCCTTTATGCTAAAAACCCTCAATAAACTCGGTATCGATGGAACGTATCTCAAAGTAATAAAAGCTATTTATGACAAACCAACAGCCAATATCATACTGAATGGGCAAAAACTGGAAGCATTCCCTTTGAAATCTGGCACTAGACAAGGATGCCCTCTTTCACCACTCCTATTCAATATAGTACTGGAAGTTCTAGCCAGAGCAATTAGGCAAGAAAAAGAAATAAAGGGTATTCAAATAGGAAAGGTGGAAGCCAAATTGTCTCTATTTGCAGACGACATGATAGTATACCTAGAAGACCCCATCGCCTCAGCCCAAAAACTCCTGAAACTGATAAGCAACTTCAGCAAAGTCTCAGGATATAAAATCAATGTGCAAAACTCACAAGCCTTCCTCTACACCAATAACAGACTTAAAGAAAACCAAATCAAGAACGAACTGCCATTCACAATTGCTACAAAAAGAATAAAATACCTTGGAATACAACTCACAAGGAACGTAAGAGACCTCTTCAAGGAAAACTACAAACCACTGCTCAACGAAATAAGAGAGGACACAAACAGATGGAGAAACATTCCATGTTCATGGTTAGGAAGAATTAATATCGTGAAAATGGCTATACTGCCCAAAGTAATTTACAGAATCAACGCTATCCCCATCAAGCTACCATTGACTTTCTTCACAGAACTGGAAAAAACCACCATGAACTTCATATGGAACCAAAAGAGAGCCTGCATAGCCAAGTCAATTCTAAGCAAAAAGAACACAGCGGGGGGCATCACACTACCGGATTTCAAACTATACTACAAGGCTACAGTAATCAAAACAGCATGGTACTGGTACCAAAACAGAGATATAGACCAATGGAACAAAACAGAGGCACCGGAGGCAACACAACATATCTACAACTATACAATCTTGATAAACCTGACAAAAACAAGCAAGGGGGAAATGATTCCCTATTTAACAAATGGTGTTGGGAAAACTGGCTAGCCATGTGCAGAAAGCAGAAACTGGACCCCTTCCTGACACCTTACACTAAAATTAACTCCAGATGGATTAAAGACTTAAACATAAGACCTGGCACCATAAAAACCCTAGAAGAAATTCTTGGCCAAACCATCCAGGACATAGGAGTAGGCAAGGACTTCATGAACAAAACACCAAAAGCATTGGCAACAAAAGCCAAAATAGACAAATGGGACCTAATCAAACTCCACAGCTTCTGCACGGCAAAAGAAACAGTCTCTAGAGTGAATTGGCAACCAACAGAATGGGAAAAAATTTTTGCAGTTTACCCATCTGACAAAGGGCTGATATCCAGAATTTACAAAGAACTCAATCAGATTTACAGGAAAAAAACAAACAAGCCCATTCAAAATTGGGCAAAGGATATGAACAGACACTTTACGAAAGAAGACATATATGAGGCCAACAATCAGATGAAAAAATGCTCATCGTCACTGGTCATCAGAGAGATGCAAATCAAAACCACATTGAGATACCATCTCATGCCAGTTAGAATGGTGATCATTAAAAAATCTGGAGACAACAGATGCTGGAGAGGATGTGGAGAAAAAGGAACACTTTTACACTGTTGGTGGGTGTGTAAATTAGTTCAACCATTGTGGAAGACAGTGTGGCGATTCCTCAAGGCCTTAGAAATAGAAATTCCATTTGACCCAGCAATCCCATTACTGGGTATATATCCAAAGGACTATAAATCATTCTACTATAAGGACACATGCACACGAATGTTCATTGCAGCACTGTTTACAATAGCAAAGACCTGGAATCAACCCAAATGCCCATCGATGATAGACTGGACTGGGAAAATGTGGCACATATACAACATGGAATATTTTGCAGCAGTCAGAAATGATGAGTTTTTGTCATTTGTAGGGACATGGATGAATCTGGAGAACATCATTCTCAGCAAACTGACACAAGAACAGAAAATGAAACACCGCATATTCTCACTCATAGGTGGGTGATGAAAAATGAGAACACATGGACACTGGGAGGGGAGTACTAAACACTGGGGTCTATTGGGGGGAAAAGGGGAGGGCCAGTGGGAGGGGGAGGTGGGGAGGGATAGCCTGGGGAGAAATGCCAAATGTGGGTGAAGGGGAGAAAGGAAGCAAAACACACTGCCATGTGTGTATTTATGCAACTGTCTTGCATGTTCTGCACATGTACCCCAAAACCTAAAATGCAATAAAAAATTAAAAAAAAAAATACTGAGAAAGATAATATCTGTATGTACATTTATGAAAACAATCCTTGTATTTTAATGTAGCATCACCCAAGAATAATTACTAAATTTTCTTCAAATAATTTATTAGTTTGCAACAAATTAAAAGTATTAGAAGTTTGGAGGAAAGATAGATAGATATGTATGTTTAATATCTATATACATTTAAAATATCACATTAAAACAAAGAAAAACTCATCTGAAACAAGTATATTAAACTAAATACTATTCAAAAGCTGGCTATGAAAAGAGGCATCTATTCAGATCACGGCATGGTGATTCCTTATGTCAAACTTCTGGTTTTCTGAATGTATAAAATTGTAACTTTTATTTTATAATTATAAGATTATAAAATTCCATAATAAAATACAACAAAGATTTATACTACAAAGATAAAATGTCCCTAAAAGAAAATATGACAAGTTTACACCATGTTCTTTTTTCCCCTACCTTACTACTCACTGCACATTTAAATAGAAAGAAAGAAGATCCAATTTGAATGTATTTACCTCACCAAACGGAGTGTAAAACCGCACAATGTTGCCATCTTTGTCCTGCGTGGCCGCCTTCTGGAAGCCTGCCACAGCTAATACGCTGCCCATGTGGTTCCACTGGATGGCTACTACGTACATGTCAGTGTCAATCAAAACGGGATCTAGTTAAAAAGAGAAAAACGAGGTGACTGTGGGAAAATACTTAGCCTAGAGAACATTATAATCTTACAACAATTTTTAAATATTTTCAAAACTTTCCACATTTAAAAAAAATCATGGCTCACGCCTATAATCCCAACACTTTAGGAGGCTGAGGCGGGCAGATCACTTTAGTCCAGGAGTTCAAGATCAGCCTGGGCAACATGGCGAAACCCCGTCTCTATGAAAAATAAAAAATTAGCTAGGGGTAGTGGTGCACACCTGTGGTCCCAGCTCCTCGGGAGGCTGAGATGGGAGGATCCCTCAAGCCCGGGAAGCCAAGGCTGCAGTGAGCCAAGATCGTGCCACTGTACTCCAGCCTCGGTAACAGAGTGAGACCCTGTCACCAAAAAAAAAGTTAACAATTAGAAATTAAGGCCAGGCACAGTGGGTCACGCCTGAAATCCCAGCACTTTGGGAGGCCAAGGCGAGACCATCCTGGATAACACAGTGCAACCCGGTCTCTACTAAAAATACAAAAAAATAGCCAGGCGTGATGGCATGCACCTATAGACCCAGCTACTGGGGAGGTTGAGGCAAAATAATCACTTGAACCCAGGAGGCAGAGGTTGCAGTGAGCCGAGATTGCACCACTGCACTCCAGCCTGGGCAACAGAGTGATACTCCATCTCAAAAAAAAAAAAAAAAATTAGAAATATAAAAATTTTTTAAAGCAGAAAAATTCCTTACTTTGGTCATTCTCGTGTCTCATTATTTGGCATCTTCCATTGTCGAAGCAAACAGCAAGGCAAGGGCAATCAGGCTCCACGTAGCCTTCTGAACCATGGTACCAATGAATCCCAGCAATGCTGATAGCTCCAGTGACATTCACCAAACAACTCAGTTTCATTTTTATCTAAATAAAATTGGTTAGGTTTAATACTTTACATTTCAAAGCAGAGCAGCATAGCTACAATACTCAATAGAGCTCTGTAGGAAGAACACTGAAAACACAAACTAAAAATCAGGTTGCAAATAAAAACCTTATCACCCACAAGTATACAGACCTTGGGCAAATCAACTAAATCCCCATTTTGACCACATGTAAAAAATGAGGATTAAAAAAATACTGAGTTTTTATGAGACTCAAATAACAAATATATGAAAGTACTCTGAAAACAGCAAAATGTCATACAAAAGTTCAGTATTTTTCTTCCACCAGTGAGTGGATTTACTTAGTGTCCTAGCCCTTGCTAAAAAACAGAACTGCCCCATCAGTAGATCATAGATCTATTATAGCTACACCTTGCAAAGCCAGAATTTTTCTGCAGATTATGCTGCCTGAGCCTATTCTATTTTACCTTCTTTCGAGGGATTGATTTTTTCTTACAATTTAAGTCTCTCATTCTTTTTACAAACAACCATTTTTGTAGCTTGCTACAAAAATAACTTTGGTATCTAAATGTAAACTTTGGCTTGAGATACCAGAAGACACTTAAAAAACTTAAACTGCACATTGTCCTACTCATTATCCCTCTGCTTCAATGCACTGATGTCTTGTCCTTTCTACCTACCAACAAAATTGGAACTAAAAGTGACACTCTAACATGTTGCACTAATTTGCCTTGAGAAAACCAAGACTTTAATTTTAAAAAATTGTAGATGATTAGGAAAAGAAAAAATCTGAATTGAAGACTTTAATTACAGAAAGCATTGTAACAAATAAATGTGTATACAAACATGAATGATATGTACAATAATCATATAAAATTGTATAAACAAGACTGATGAATACACAGACTTACTACAAAATTCCCGAAATTGTCATAAATGTGTATTTCCCCATTTGCCATTCCAAAGAGTAAGACTCTACTGTCTGCAGACCATGATACATGGCATAGCTGTATACCCTTCAGTTCTTTTCCCCAAATACGATTGCCTAAAACAAAACATTATTAAAAGTTGTTAGAGAATCATGACCCTCGAACAACTGCTTGCGAAATCTTTGTTTTCCTAAAGGTCTCTCAAATTCCTCACAGCATTCATGCATTCATTCAATTTATTTGGTCAATAAACATTTACTGAGTGCCTATATGTGCCAAATACCTAAAGAGACATTGAAATAGCAATTCTTTCAAATTTTCTCCCCTTTCTTCTAAACTCTGACACTGGATCTCACTCCTAATTAGCAGTTGAACCCATCTTCTACTTTGGAAAGAAAATAAAAGCACCCAAAAAACAAATTCTTCATTTCCTATCTTCAGCCATTCAGAACATAACTGAATCCATGCTTACAATTTCTGCTTTGCCCTCTAATCCAAAAGAAGAGGTATTTCTCCAGGCAGATCCCTACCTAAGGCTAATTCCTCTATGTATTCTCTGATCTACTCCCTTCCTAGCTTTGCAAAGGTCTCACTTTAATGACTACTCTCATTTTCTCTTTCTCATTAAATTCTTCATTCTTTCTTGTGTGGATTTAAACACACAGATCTATTTCTCTTTGAAACCACCATCTCAAATAAAATAAAACAAAATAAACACTTTTCTTAACCCCAAGTTCCCTATCTGTTTCTACCCTTCCTTTCCCAACCAAACTTCATGAAAGAATTCTTCACACCTACAGTCTCCACTTTAACTCCCACTCAACCCTTAACACGTCCCAATCTGGCTTCTGCCCCACAACTCCACTGAAACTGCCTACAACATACACTATCTGGGTGATGGTTATATGCTAATAGTCCAGAGCCAGACCTCACCAATATTCAATATATCCACATAACAAACCTGCACTTGTACCCCCTAAACCTATAAAAATAATACATAAAAGAAGAAAGCAAATCTGTTGACATCTTGATCTTGTACCTCTAGGGTCCAGAACTCTGAGAAAATAAATTTCTGTTGTTTAAAAAAGAAAGAAGGAAACTGCCTTCATGGAGGTCACTGATGGCCTGCTGCTAAAGCCAACTGATACATTTTTTTTTAACCAGTCCCTCCTTCTTGACACTCTTTTGGCTTCCATTAGCCCATATACTCCTTTATCTGCAAGACTTCTGTTTTTCAACATCCTTCTTCTGCCCATCCCTTAAATGTTGCCGACTTTTTTTTTCCCCTGAGACAGGGTCTCACTCTGTTGCCCCAGCTAGAGTGTAGTGGTAAGATCATGGCTCACTACAGCCTTGACCTCCCAGGCTCAAGCAATCCTCCCACTTTGGCCTCCGAGGTGACTGGGACTAGAGGAGTGTGCTACCACACTCAGATAATAATTTGGTTTTTAATTTTTTTATTTTTAAAAGAGACAAGGTCTTGCTTTGTTGTCCAGGCTGGTGTCAACCTCCTGAGCTCAAGCAATCCTCCCACCTTGGCCTCCCAAAGTGCTGGGATTATAGGCATAAGCCACCGTGCCCAGCCTAAATGTTGATGATTCTTAACTCTAAGATGGCCCTTAATTTTGTTCAACTATTCCAAAGGTTTAAATTACCAAGCATATGTGGGTGGTTTCCAAAATTTTGTGTTCAGTACAGATGTTTTTGAGCTGCAGATATGTATGTCTAACTATGGTCTGGATATATTTACTGGAATGGCCTATGGCATGACAAAATCAGCATATCCACATTATTTCAATGAAAGGCATTACCATCCATCCAGCTGCCCAAGCTAAAACTCTGGAAACTGCCCTGGGGACTTCCATCCTCTCATCCCCAGACCTATCTATTCTGCCTCCTGAGTATATCTAAAATCTACTTACTTCCATCCCCTTTGTCATTACCTGGATGGCTGCCATCCAACGTCCTCTCTCCCCTGAATTGCCAGAGAAATTTCCTGATACAGCTGCCCATTATCTTTCTTTCCTTTCTCTATTCTTTATATGTAGTACAGAGGTGTTTCTAAAGAATCTTATCTCCTTATTCCCATTCTTAAAACTTTTCATTGGCCTCCCAAGTGCTGTTAGACTTAAGTCTAAACGCCTTAATATAATTTATAATCTGCATGATCTGGCCTCTATTTCTCTCTCTAGATTCATTACATACTACTCTTCACCTTTAGTATTATACCCTACTGATATTCACATTTTCCAATAGCCCAGACATAGCTAAGTGCAACTCCTCTGGACCTCCTCAAATGCTATTTCTTAGGGCTGAGACGTTCTATGCACTAACCTACCATGTGGCTACTGCCTCAGCATCAGCATCACTTCCTCCAGGAAGCCTTTCCTGTTCCTTCCAAGTCTGCATTAGGTGGCACTTCTACATGCTCCTGTGTCTTCCCCATCTTAGCACTTATCACAGGGTACTGTAATTGCTTGGTTACTTATGCATCTCTCCTGATCTAGGTCTGGTCATTGCTGTACCCTTAGTTCATAAAATGATACCTATTGCTGAATAGGCTCTCAGAAACATTTGTTGACTATGTAAAGTTTTACACACACACACACACATACACACACACAGAGAGAGAGAGATGAAAATTATTTTAAAACAAATTATTTCTCTACAGAGTTTCAAGTTAACACAAAGGTGCAGACTCTCAGAAGACCCAGTTTTATCTATTACTAGAATTTGAAAAATATGGGTTTTTAAGGCTATAAACTACAACCAACAATGACATGTTCAGTTCTACTGAAAGTGACCACACACTTTTTGAAACTAAAGTCTATATATGTATACAGACTAACCAATATAAAGACAAATTACATAATGAGGCAGATATGTTTAAAATAATGCTGAAAAGTTAATTCACTTTTTTCAGTGCTACTGCAGGAAATCAAAAAATAGACTTTCCTTGAATATATATAAAAACAGATGGTTAGAACCAAAGAACAGTTCTTGAGTGTCATCGAATTGGATATCAAATATTTTCCCTTTTATGTCTATTTTTCAATCAGAATGCTAACATTTGATAATTAACTTAAATCTCTACAGAAAACTGTCAGCCAGATATCGATCTTAAGTCTATGTCTGACCAACACATTACCATCCACTGAACCAACTATCACAGCCCCATCTTCATATACAATGCAGATCTTCTGTCCATCAGCATTCCAGCTCATACTGCGAACAACTGATTTATTTCGATTGTTGATCATCTCCTCAATCCAAGAGCCTGTTTTCACAAATTTAAGAAATTACAAGTCAAAACTTTCACATCTATTAAACAGTAGCTAAAAATTGAAAGCATTCCATAAAGTACACCATGGGATAAATAACTGCAAAGTTTTCTACAACCTGAGACATTAAACTATAAAACTTCCAAATCCAACAAAAACAAAATGAAAAATTAACTTGGGCTTAACTAATCATTGCTTCAAAGATTATCATAGAAAACATAATAAATGCCCCTCCTTTGTTTCTTCTTTCTTTCTTTCCTGTCTCTTTCTGTCAATTAAAAAATAAACTTCATTTGCTTTTGCGGAGCCAAACCTACTAATCTTTCTGAAACCCTAACTTTTTCCACTTGAACAATATGGTTCAGATCATAACCAAGAAAAAAAACCCAAGTAACAATAACTTTATACGTACACATAAACTCTCCAGTGGTTAACTACAAGCATATTAAATACAACGTATTAGTTACCATCATAAAGAGAATGAGGGCAAAAAATCCACAGCATATTAGGTAAAACTCTAAGCCTGCTTGAAAAACTAGTAATCAGTTTATATTACATTAATGCTACCACATCTCTAATGCTGAATGACAAAAATATTCTAGTTATATGCAGGGTAGGAATGACATGTAACTTGTCTTGTAGCACAACCAAATTAGAGGCAAAAAAAAAGTAGGTTGTTTTGTTTTTGTTTTTTTTAAAGGCTTTTTTATATACATACTGACATAGGGAACTCTGACCTGCAGCCAAGCAAATAATCACATAATTTGGAATAACTGGGCAGCACAGGGTAACAGAATCAAGACTGAGACCCAGAGAAGACCTGAAGACCTACCTTGGAAACAGACAAAGTTTACTCCAGTCCACTGAACTTTAACATTCTATCCCCTACACACACACAAACGCAGACATCCTTTTAAAAAATTAAAGTATTACAGCCTATCTTTAATGAAGATTTTTTCAGTGGTATGCCCTACCATTTAAAACAGCACACATGAACTAAGGTACACTTCCCTTTTGAAGATGATGACTACAGGCCTCAGGAGAACATGTATTATGAGCTGTTTTTCTGGTAAAAGTGGTATATCTAAGTTAATCCTTCCTTTATTCTCCCTCTCTCTTGTAGACAAGAGGCACAAATTGTGAACCAGTAATCAGAGTTGAGATAAAATCTATATCCATAAAAGAAAAGGAAGCTAACTGGCCCATGCAAGAAATGAATTATTATCTTTGACTTCTTACTAAATGTGTTGTTATCTACTAACTCCAGCCACTCACTTATTCATTCATTCAACAAATATTTATTGAACGTGTACACTGTGCTATGCATTATAAAAGGCTCTACATATAAAATGATGAACCAAATAGTCATTTCCCCTTTCCCCTTAGAGCTTACAGTCTACTGAGGGACCAATATTAAATATACACTCTCACACACATAAATGTAATTATAAACTGGAACTACCTAGGAAGTAATTCTTATTGGAAAATCTTGGTGGGGGGAAGGAGCTATCTCAAGTAGAAGCTATTCTTCTGCTAAGAGTCTAAGTTCATTTTGGAGATAGCCAACAGTCAGCTAATTCACTTTCTTAATACAGGGTTAAAGTTAAAAATAAAAAGTGAAAAGCAGGCAGCAATAAGTCCAGAAATATCATCACTGCACAGTCAGGATGCACTCCTGCTAAGTAAAAGGGGTCTATTTTGGAGATGTTATTTACCCATCCAAATACTGTGATCCAGATGCCAACTTGTGAAAAAGGAAATAAGCTCTCCTAGTATAGTATACCTTTATAAAACATCCACACAATGATAAGCCCGTTTTCATCACTGGTAGTCAACTTCTGATACTGTTCATTCCATGTTACAACTTGAACAGAACCTAGAACATGATAAAACAATTTAGAAACTTAAAGGTTGCAATTAATTTCAAATTTATATTTTTATATGAATACCAAGATCAAGTTAAAATCAATATGGTTCCTGTACAGCTAACTAGTCTTTATTATATTCCTCAAAAATATTCATAGGATGCAGTTATTGATATCACTATTTTTCTATAACAGTGCATAATACTATTTTTCATATCTATCCTTATTTCATGCCAGTGAAGACACCTATCATGGCTAGCTACAAGAACTACCACATATCTAATGACAGAAACAAATACAAGCATGGTTTACCCAATTGGCCTGACTCCCAAAAACAATGCTGTCCAAAGGACACCATACTAAGTACTTGTTTAAGGGATTTTTGTTAATCCTTTTTGGTAGATATGCCCTATAATCTCTCTTCTGCCAACCCCTCATCCCTGTTTTCCATTCTATTAGTAAAATACTCTTAGGCATATCTTAAAGCTCTAGGGTACATGAATAATTGATGACTTTTAATTTTTTAATCCCTAAATACTTTAGTGTACATTTTCTAAGAATAAAGACATTCTCTTTCAGAATCATATTACAAATTAGGAAGTTTAACACTAATACACTATTATTATCTAACTCACAGTCCATATTCAAATGTTACCAATTGTCCAAATAATGTTCTGTATAGACACTTGTTTTTCTCATTCCAAGATCCAATCTAGGATTATACAGTGCATTTAGTTGTTATGTGTCTTCAATCTTTAGTCTTTTTTTTTCCCCCGAGACAGGATCTTACACTGTCACCAAGGCTGGAATGCAGTGGCACAACCATGGCTCACTGCAGCCTCAAGCACCTGGGCTCAAGGGATGCTCCCACCTCAGCCTCCCAAGTACCTGGGACTACAGGCACACAGCACCACGCCTGGTTAATTTTTTTTATTTTTTATAGAAACAGGGTCTCATTATGTTGCCAGGGTGGTTCCAAAATCCTAGCCTCAGGCAATCCTCCCACCTTGGCCTCCTAAAGTGCTTGAACTATAGATGTGAGCCACTATGCCTGGTCTCTTCAGTCTCCTTTAATCTGGAATCATAGGACAGATTCTAAAAAGGATTATTATACATATAAAACACTCATAGACAGGAGTATTTTCAATATATAAAATAACAGCTACTTTCTCCTAGATTTGTTTAAGATGTTGTTTACTCATGTAAAAGTTGAATGACTCTAAGTTATATTACTTAAGACTCAACAGAAATGATTACAAATAGCTCCCAACTTACAATGGTAATACTTAAATGATTTTTCGGTGGTGGGAATGCAATGCACATTCAGTAGTAGCCGCACATCAAGTGCCCACACAACCATTCTGTTTTTTACTTTCAGTACAGAATTCAATAAATTACATGAGATAGTAAACATTTTATTATAAAATACACTTTATGTCAGATGATTTTGCCCAACTGCAGACTAGTGTTTTCCGGGCACATTGAAGGTAAGCTAGGCCAAGCTATGATGTTCAGTAGGTTAGGTGTATTAAATGCATTTTCAGCTTCCAATGGATTTATTGGACCATATCCCCATTGTAAGTCAAAGAGCATCTGTACTTGAAATATGACCATTATTTAAAATGTTGATATTTCTGCATTAAGCAGGTACTTTCTAAATGCCTAAATTCCACTCAATCATGCCTTAAAAGAAATTGCATGACTCACCACTATGACCTTCAAGATTCTGATTCATAGAAAGGTTACTTGGGGCCGCAAGACCCCTCCATTTTGTATCATCTAAAACAAAACAAAACAAACTACTATGTTAAATATCTAAAAGTGACATAGTATAAGACTTTGACATTTTTTTGTATTCTTGGGCAGTATTAATCATTTTTTTAAGTATATCTCATTCTGATTTATTTTTCTCATGGTACAAATATGAACAGTAACCTATACCTCTTGCAAAAATATTCTCGTAAAATAAAACAAAATATATAAATGAACATTGTTTACTCATACATTAAATATATTAATAATCATCACTGCTTCTTATTCCTTTCCAAAAGACCACAAATAGAAATATTTATGGACCACAGACTGAAAACTCTACAGCTTACAAGGGATCAAAACAACATAGAATTTGAAATGAGTTTTTACTAGATTACACAGAATCTTATATCCACTCATGTATTCATTCATTCAACAAATGTATATTGAATGTGAAATGTTTATTATAAAAGGTTCTCTGTATAAAATGACAAACAAAATAGTCATTTCCCCTTTCTCCTCAGAGCTTACAGTCTGAAGGACCAATATTAAATACACACTCACACCCCCATAAATGTAACTATAAACTGGGAACATGAAGGCATAATAAGAAACAGCAACAGAAGTGACTTAATTATAGATTGACGGGGAACCAGGGAAAGCTTTCAGAAGACCTGATACCCAAGCTGGGCTGGTAAACTGGAGATAGCCAGGAAAGGCAAAGAAAGAAGGGGAGTAGTTCAGGCTAGGACACAGCAATGCAAAGGCTCTGAGGTAGGCACTTAGAACCCTTGACAAACTCTAAGAAGGCCTATTTGGACAAACAGGGGAGAAAATTGCATTAAACAAGCCTGGAGTGATAGGCACAGGAAAAATGATGAAGTATTTGTAGAAAACAATAAGAATTTGAGATTTTATCGAAAGTGTAATGAAAACCTCTAAAGACATCTTAAAAAATTATCCTACAGAGCATAATGTTAAAATGTCATCTCAATAAATTAATCTTTGCTTAGAAATCTGTTACACATAAAACATAGCATTTAAAACTTTCATTTGAAATACAAATTTTATGAAGATTTTAAGAATTGTGAGAATGGGAATTATTCCAATGCTAAAGAAAATTCTACTTTCACATAGCAAGTATCTTAAAATATTATGAAAAATATTCTTTTTCTGAAAACAGTCAGGAAAAAATATCTCATTTCCTCTAAAATCACTAGTTTTAATTACCCAGTTGTTGTTTTCTTAACCCAAGAGTACACGCGTACAATTTAACAATGCAATCATCTGTCAAACAATTAAGATTAAATGTTGCCAACACACACAAGGCTGAACATGATTTTTTTAAACATAGGGTTCTTTCACTCATTTAATCTTTTAAAAATTTTACAACACCCTTTATTATAATATTCTAAAATATTTGGTCGAAACAATTTTCTTAACTTCTAGCATTGAAAAATCCATTCTTCTGGTGTCACTGTAACCAAACTAAGTGAAATGGGTGATATGCGATTTAAATGGACCACCCATGTTTTCTCTCTGTTGGACTGTAAGGTAGGGTACTCTTGACAAAATACATGCTGACAGTTAAGAACAGGCTTTGAAATTCAGTTTGATGTACTGAACAAATATCATCCACATCTGAAAAGGTCTCTTGTTGGCAGCAACTCCATAACTTGATCTTGTACAAAATATTCATAAAACCCACCTGAAAGTTCTCAGATGTCTATAAAAAAGCCAAAAGATTTAAATGATGTAGAGTAAAGCCAGCAATAATATCCCAAGATTCCATTCGTTACATTACTAGACTCCAGACAGCCAATAAGGTAATGAAACCAAACTGGTATGTGAACAAAAATCTGGTAATACTGACATAAATCTTCTAAAAGCACATACCAGTAACCCTTGGATTTAAAAGGCCTGTTGAAAGAGGATACCAAAATATAATGCATTTTAAACTCATGTAAAGGAATTTCAGAATGAAATCAGCTATTCCAATAACCCAAAGAACATCAAAAAGTCCAAAGAAGTCTTTTAAAAGATTAAGGTGTAATAAAGCGACTGAAAGTAGAAGGTATGATATAGAAGAACAGAAGACCCTGCTAATCACACCAGTAACCAAGCACACTAAATCTCTAAGAGCCTTTCTCTTAGAAAAGCATGACTGACAATGCTTTTGTTTGCATTCACAGAAGTTGTCAGCAGCCCAATATCAAAAGAAATTCCTGTTACGTGCTGCACAATAAGCTTGAAAACTAGAATCAAAATATAAATAAGACTGTTTTGCAACACATAAGGATAATACAATTCTGAGGAGATGGTACCATATTTTCCAGACTCTCTGGCAGGGTCACCTGGTTCCCTTGCTTCTCTGTGTGAATGACTGACTGCAAAGGACTATGGACGCATCCGTGGGTATAGCTATGGACACCTTACCTGAGATTTCTGGTCAATCTTGTTGTCCTGGGCATACTGGAAGATTGAGGCAATGTCACTGCCCACAGGTCCTGGAAAACTGAGCAGGCAGCTACAGCTGGCTTGCATGGCCCGAAATACTTTTTCCCTGTTGCAAATGTATGCTTTCAGGGCTCTCTACTCTCATGAGGATGAGAGAATGGAGGCCTTGGCAGTCGTAGCAGGAAAAGCAAGAAATGCCAGCTCAATTCTAGTCAGGGACATCACCCTCAAACCCTACCACAAGCAGCTCCAACCCAGGGTCATCACCCTCAATTCCTACCATAAGCAGCTCCAAACCAGGGTCATCACCCTCAATCCCTACCACCAGCAACTCCAACCCAGGGTCATCACCCTCAATTCCTACCATAAGCAGCTCCAAACCAGGGTCATCACCCTCAATCCCTACCACCAGCAACTCCAACCCAGGGTCATCACCCTCAATCCCTAACATAAGCAGCTCCAACCCAGGGTCATTACCCTCGAATCCTAACGCAAGCAGCTCCAAACCAAGGTCATCACCCTCAATCCCTAACACAAGCAGCTCCAAACCAGGATCATCACCCTCAAGCCCTAATGCAAGCAGCTCCAACCCAGGGTCATCACCCTCAATCCCTAACACAAGCAGCTCCAACCCAGGGTCATCACCCTCAATTCCTAACACAAGCAGCTCCAAACCAAGGTCATCACCCTCAATCCCTAACACAAGCAGCTCCAACCCAGGGTCATCACCCTCAATCCCTAACACAAGCAGCTCCAAACCAGGGTCATCACCCTCAATTCCTAACGCAAGCAGCTCCAACTCAGGGTCATCACCCTCAATCCCTAACACAAGCAGCTCCAAACCAGGGTTGTCCCTCAATCCCTACCACAAGCAGCTCCAACCCACAGTCATCACCCTCAAACCCTACCACAAGCAGCTCCAACCCACAGTCATCACCCTCAATCCTTACCACAAGCAGCTCCAAGCCAGGGTCATCACCTTTAAACCCTACCACAAGCAACTCCAACCCAGACTGTCAGCCCTTTAAAAACCTTTTGGCAAGGAAATGATATCATCTGGTCCCTTTAAAAAAAATGACACTGGCTAGAGTGTCAAGAACAATTAAGAGTAAGCAAGAGACAATGGAAGGAGAAAAACTGATTCTCACAATAGACCAAGTGAGGGATGATGGTAGCTGGAGCTATAGAGAGAGTATGGGAGACAAAGGAAAGGATGGGTTCAAGATATGCTTTTGAGACAAAAGCAACAGGATTGCTGATGCAGATGCTGTTAAGGGAGGAAAAGAGAAGATTTCCAGCTTGAGCAAATGCGTGAAATTGAGACATTTTGCTGAAATGGAGAGAACTGAAAGAAGAGATTTGGAAGAACATCAAGAGTTCAGTTTTGAACAGTTTAAGTATGAAATGCCTGTGAAAGACTCCAGTGGAGACACCCAAGTCTGAAAAATCGGGACTGGACTGGAGATATAAATGTGGGGCTCTTCACCCCATACCACAGATGACATTTGAGGGCAAGAGAATAAAAGAATAAATACAGAAAGCAAGTGACTAGAGAGCCCAGAAGCAAGTTCTTAGGAATTCTAACAGAAGAGGGAAGTCTAGCAAAGAGACTGAGGACTGACCAGAGAAGGAGGAGAGAAAGTAGTATGTTTAAACATAACAATAACTTAAACATTTTGAATTCTCCTGTCTTGAAAAACAATGTTTCGAGTCAAATCCCGATGAGTCAATAAAAGCTGTCCATTAGTTTAGAACATGAAAGTCACTGGTGAGGGAGAGAAAAAGAGAGAGGACTGATATTGAAAGGAAAAAGAGAGGATAAATTAGCAGAGAGAGGTAACCTGAGGAGGTGAGGGGAGATGAGTTCCAGCAAAACACTAGAAGCTGGCCTGTGGGAGAAGTAAACCTGATATAAAAAGACGGACTGCTGGTTCCAGCTCCTTTCCTCCTAAAGCAAGGGACTGAAAACTGGAAATGCAACTTGGTACAAACTTCTACACATACTAGAAACCTGTACAAATGTACAGACTCTTTGATCCAGTGAATGCCATTTCTAGAGATTTATCCTAGAAAGTCTTAACAACTTATGCAAAGATTTGGATACAAAGATACCGCTGCTTTAATAGTAAAAATGCAGAGACATCTAAATGTCCAGTACTAGAACTGGTTAAGCAAAGTATAATATATTAACACCAATATAATGAAATACTAAATAGACATTTAAAATTATGCCAGAAGATGATTTCTTGATGTAAAGGATTGCTGTTCTATATTGCTGTAGCCGAGCTATAAAACATTATACTTAGAATGGTGCATCTCTAGCACAACACAGTGCTTGAGGTGAAGCAGGCATGCGGTATCTATGATTGTTACTGGAGGGCTCTGCTGAATCACTATTTGTATCAAATACAATATATTGATCTTGTTAGAATCTCCCAGTCATATTTCTCATATCTAACTCTTCCAGCACAATTCATAATCATTATTAAGTTCCAAAACAAACACATTACTCCATTTTCCAAACCTCCCAAGAACCGATTTCCCATCTTGCTCACTAATGTCAAAGAATACTCTAGCCACAGCTCATCAAAAGGACAGAGTAGAAAAAGCAGTATGCTTTTTTTAAAAAAAAGCCTTCAACATTAAACAAAATGAACGCATTTCTTAATGTATTTTAAAACTTGCTACATACTGTAATATACATAATGTATATACAGACACACACACACATATATATATACATTTAAGAAACTTTCTTTTAATACAGTTTTAAAAACTAAAGCACTGACAGATTGAACTATAAAACAGCATAAGCCAAACCTTAATTGGTACTTAAGTATTTATCTTCCAAATCTGCCTTTTATTTCATAAAATTAACCTACCACAGCAAAACAATTACTATCTTCTTTACTTAGGCTGTCTACTAGCCCTTTATGTAGTGGTTAAAAACAAGGATTTGAATGTGAAACAAACTTAGTTTCACATCCTTACTCTACCACTTACTGGCTGTGTGACCTAGTACAATTATTAACTGCTCAGAGGCTCAGTTTTCTCACCTAGAACACCTACTGCTCAAGATCTTCATTGTGAAGTCAAACAAGATTGTGAAGGTTAAACATCCAAGTATATGGAAAACCGTCAGTAAGTACTTATTACTCATATAACATTCAAAGCTGTAAGGTAATGCTATTCAAAGTGGGGTCTAAGGACCAGCAACTCAGCATCACTAAAAATGGAAATTCTCAGGTCTCATTCAGGGTCTTTGGTTGTGGGGTAGAGCTCGGAATCCATCTTAACCACTCCTTCCAGTGATTCTTATACCTAACACAGTTTGAGAAGCAAGGTTGTAAGGAATACAAAAATGTAATTCAGTTTAATCCCCTACATTTTCATTTTAAGGAAGAGTAAACAAAAGTAGTAAAATCCTCAGCTACTCGTTGAAAGTCACTCAGTAGTCCTGTGGCAGAGCTGAGATTTAACTCCAATTACCCTATCTAGATCTTCAATCTAGCACAGCAGTAGTGAGGCTAAAGAAGTGGGAAGCGGCCGGGCATGGTGGCTCACGCCTGTAATCCCAGCACTTTGGGAGGCCCAGGCGGGTGGATCACGAGGTCAAGAGATCGAGACCATCCAGGTCAACATGGTGAAACCCCATCTCTACTAAAAATACAAAAATTAGCTGGGCATGGTGGCGCGTGCCTGTAATCCCAGCTATTCAGGAGAATTGCCTGAACCCAGGAGGCAGAGGTTGCGGTGAGCTGAGATCGTGCCATTGCACTCCAGCCTGGGTAACAAGAGCAAAACTCCGTCTCAAAAAAAAAAAAAAAGAGAGAGAGAGAGAGAGAGAGAGAGAAGTGGGAAGCTGTTTGTTGTGATTCCAGAGCACTAGATAAAGAAAGAACTCAAGCTGCATAGACAAGAGACCTACTAATAAAAACGTAAAACATATCCCATTTTCTGTTTTTGGACACTAGGGGAATAATCACTAATGCATCTGATAAGCAGAAAGGATGACATAGATGTGTAAATAATCTGCCAAATTTTCTTTCTTTTTTTTTTTTTTTGAGACGGAGTCTCGCTCTGTTACTCAGGCTGGAGTGCAGTGGCGCGATCTCGGCTCGAGTGATTCTCCTGTCTCAGTCTTCAGAGTAGCTGGGATTACAGACGCCCACCACCACGCCCAGCTAATTTGATGTATTTTTAGTAGAGACGTGGTTTCACCATGTTGGTCAGGCTGATGATCTCCAACACCTGACCTCGTGATCCGCCCAACCTCAACTTCCCAAAGTTCTGGGATTACAGGCATCAGCCACCGTGCCCAGCCAATCTGCCAGATTTTCTTACTGCAATGTTGACTCACACAATTTTTATTAGACTTCTAGTAATGTAGTACACCAATTAGACATAGCATAACACAGTGACTTATTTTCATTCTTCATTATTTTTCATTGTCCATTAAGAACTCAGCAAAAATCATCTGATGTTTACATTCAACGTTATCTGAACTTTATTGCAAACATACTCCAGGAAAATTCCATTAAATGTTTAGGTGGTTTTCCCTTTAAAATAATCGGAATTGCATATCGACAGATACCATGAGTAAATCGCACTGAACAAATAACACTAGCCAATTTTCTACCAATTTCAAATATGTGCGCTTGCATTCATTTACCTGTCTGTGTCTCTAATTTCAAAACCTTCAGTAATCCACCTTCACCACCGCATGCTATGAACCCTTGTTCTTTGTTCCAGGATATACACTTCAGCTTCACCTTATCGGGAATGGCTATCTGTAAAAGCAACCACAGCCAGACTAACAACTTTCGAAGGAGTTGGGAAGTAAGTCTACAGAAAGCTGAAGAAAATCTTCCAAGAAGAAAAACGGACGGCATTGCAGACAAAAAAGTGAGCTGTTGTGAAAATGAGCATGGTCCCCTGGACTGACCCGGGTTCTACCATTTGGGAAAGAGGAAAAGAAGTGCACAGAAGAGAAGATTAATGACTGTGGAGGAAGCCAACGTTAGAGTCACAGGATGGATTTTTTAAAAGGCAGGGTGGGGACAGGGTATAAATACCACCCGTCCCTATTCCTTTTTACACACACAATACTTAGGCTATCCTATTGTTACTTCTTTTCTCTTCCCCAACGGCTCCTAGTGATCCAAAGAGTTTATAAATCACGTGGATCAGCAACAAGTGGAAGAGGAAAGATAGGGTAGCACGTGTCGATTTATCCCGGAGCCACCCAAAAGGACCTAGCCAGGGGCAGGGAGAGTGCTGCGATTGGGCTGCAGGCTCAGCCAAGACCTGGTCCGGGCTCTGAGAACCGCAGGAGGAGGTCGGAGGCTGGACCCGGCGGGAAGGATGGCTGCGGGATGGCGAAGCCGCGATCGGGACTCCGTGAAGCCGCAGGGCTTCTTGGGAAGGCAGCGGGAATCGCTGCAGGCTGCGGGAATAGCGGAGAAACGATGACACCCCTCGGGAAACTCACTTTCTTGGTCAGGTAGAAGAACATCGTGGAACCTCCTTAGAGGGTCACGGTGGCCGCTAAAGCCCGCGACAAGGGATGGTTCTACGCCTCCAATCGTGAGTAGCCGCAGCTCCGGAAAGCTCCCGTCGCCCTGGCAACCTCTGCTTCCCGGTTGCATCCGGGGCGCCGCGGGACACTTCCGGTGACGCCCTCGCACCGGGCACCCGCGTAGTGCGCCTGCGCGGACGTCGTTGGGTTTGTGGGCGCGGGGCGCAAGGCGGTAGCTGGGGTTGTCACGTCCCGTCCCCAGACTTCTGCGCCTTTCTGCTCTCCGCGAGAAGCTGGGTGGCGACCTATCACCGCCTGCCGTGCGCTCGCCCCCTGCGCCCTGTCCCATGGTCCCTTCCCGCCCTACCTCCCGCCGTACACCTCTGATGGTTACGATGGAGCCGCATCTCAGGTGTCAGTACTATAAACCTAGGAGGAAAGGCGCCCTTTCGAATAAGAGCAAATGATTTAATATTTTGTAAGCCCCAAAGTTCCAGCATTCTTGAAAGAGAAAAGCCATGTACAGTATTTGATAGGCTGACGCTATGGGTCGGATGAAAGTGCAAATGTGCGTACTGAGATCTTGCAAACCTCTGTGTCTTTGGGGATTCGGGAACCCTCTGGAGCAATTTAGGAATTGGAGATTTTGTTTATTCTGCTTGTTTTGACATTTTTTTAACAGTTTAAGCTATCACCGCAACCCCGAGGGTCCTCTTAAAAGGAATTTGTATAAACTTTAGGTAATTATAGCGTACAATTGCTATTGGGCATAGCCTCCTGTTTTACAATATTTGAGCGTTTGGTGTTTTCTCATCTAGAGTCGACTGTTATATATTCTCTTATTTTTCTTACCTTATTTCTTTCTTCGTTCTCCTTTGTCCTTTTTGAATGCCTGAGAGTTAGAAAGCCTCAAAATCTAAGGCATAGGGCAGAAATCCAAGTAGAACCACTCTCATGAAATTGTTTGGTCTCAACCATGTTTTTAATTTATTTCTGGTTTTCTCTTTTGCCATAATCTAGCATGTAATTTAGGCATCAGTAGTTAATTTCCCAACTTGGAGTCTTTTCCCAACTCAGGCCAAAAAAAAAAGGTTCCAATCCTTTGACCTGGGTGATTTGCCTCACCCAGCACAATCTATTACAGAACTGACAATAGTTCCTAGTACCTGTCCTAGAGAATCTAAACTCCATCCAGAATCAGATCTTCCTTCAATCCTAGATGTTTTCACAAGGGAGCCCCCACCTTAAGTAAGCCAATGTGCTTTCTGCAGGGCAAAATTCCATCGGGCTCTGCTTCACAAGCTGCTTTATATATTCAGTGATGGTCCTAGCCTCTTAACAGACCAGTTGTGCTTAGCCAACCAGCACAAATTAGTCTCCCTGAGGAATTCTTTCCAAACTTAGCTCAATCCCATTCAGATAATACCGGTGTTTTCCATTGTCTGTGTATCTATTTAAGATACATTGGCCTCTGCCCATAGGCTCCCTATACTGGACGCATGAGACAAATTAGTATTATCTAATCCAGGAGTTTCCAATAAGCTGGTCAGGACATGATTAGTTGAAGCTAAGTGAAACTCACCTCTCTTTAAATATCTTTCCCTTCTTGCACATGAACTCCCATTTATTCCTTTATACCACCATTTCTCTGTGGTATATTAATATGTATGTACTGATTTTGGGGTCAAACAAGTATGGAAAATACTACTGTAACTCTATGTCATGCCCTTTCAAAATTTTTGAAAAGTAACAATATATGTTTTATAAAATATATATTTCCTTTGTGTATTTCGTTTTTGTTCCTTAAAGTTTATATTTTATATTTACATCAGTAGATTATATGTACTTTTCAGAAGCTTGTATTAATGTAAAGTTCATCATTATATTACTAAATTTAGATAATTTTATATTAAAGCCTTTCTGTTGAACCTGAACTTACACTTTTAGCCTAAAGAGTGTGAGATTAAACTATAGGAAGAGTATCAAATTTCTGTCTTTTGATAAGAAACTGTTGAATATCAAAATAATTGTTAATTCCGTATAATTTAAGGAAATATGATTAATAGACAAAATTGATGAGTCATCAAAAACAGACGATAATATGTAAAGGTAATATCTTTTATTATATTAAAGACAATAGAAACCAAAAAAAGAATTGAGCAGTGCAAAATTTAAAGGACTGTTTTGTTCTAAAAGTTGCAAGTTTCAAAGCCAAAAAATTATATGTATCAAATATATAAGTAAAAAAAAGGTAGGCTTTCACACCTGTAATCCCAGCACTTTGGGAAGCTGCGACAGGTGGATTACTAACATTAAAAAGACAACATTAGATTTTGTTGACTTGTAGCAATTTTATAAATAAATAACTTTATTAGTTGGATCCTAAAGCAAAATAATAAAGTAAATTTAGGGTTTTTTGTACTTGGTAAAAAGTTTAACGCCCTAAATTCCCAACAAGTGCTCTTTATTAGTACATTTCTTCTAAAGACCAGTATGAATTTAAAATGGCAATGTAATGTTCACTTGATCTATATTAACTATTTTTAGATATGTGGATTACAGTCTATTGATCACATCTTCAATAATATTCCCACAAAATAAGCAAAAAACAAAAAGTGTTAAACAGTTCAAAATTATATTCATTGCAGTTATATGAACCTGTACCTGTAAATACCTTGTATAATTTGCCCTCTCGGTAATAAGATTGATTTATATTATAAATATTATCAAAAGAAACTAGACCTAAAGTTTCCATCGTGAATATGGTTATCTGATTAATATAAACATTTAAAAATTAAATGGCTCAATTAGTAGATAAAGAAACATTAAACTTTTCATTCTGTTTCCCACCAACCATTTCACAGTCATAAGTTAGAGACATTAAAGTTTGCTCTTAATAAGGATCTGCATATTTATTTCCTTGAAAAAATGATGCTGATTCTCCAGAAGATCTTCACACAACTTATCCAGTAATATTCAAGCATTAATACAGGTTATGGCAAATTATTAGCAGGAACATTGGCAATAACAGGTGTGCAAAAGAATGCATGAATATGAAGTATACCAAGCTGTCCACATTTCCAGGTGAAAAATTGGAGCAATTTAACGATGTATTTGTCCCTATTCATTTACTTTCAACTTCTCCAAAATATCGTCAAGTGGCAAGTTGTTAAGGCCAATACCGTTTATTTTTACATGTTAGAAAATATAAACACTTTCAGACACTTCAACACAAGATAAAATAATTATGTCCTGTGATAAGTGAAAAAAAGAGCAAAACTTTTCTCACCACAAGTTGAATTCAATCTGAAAGTCAAAAATGCTATTCTTCAGAGATCACAGTAAAAGTAGACCACAGCAGTGGCCTTCAGATGTTTTTGCTCATATAAAATTTAATTGGAGTGGCATCTTCGTGGGAGGGATGGGAGAAGCAATGTTTATGAAGTCTTGGTTAAAGGGATTGTTGGATTGTCCCTTTGTTTGGCTCTCTCAAGATTCTACTTTTGTAAGAAATGCACCTGAGTAGATCTAGGGTAAGTCAGAAATATGCCTTTCTTATGTAAAGTTAGGAGAATGGTGATGCCGAAATGAGAGATGAGAAAAGAAAATGCCAACTGATTCCAAGTAGCGTCTTAAGCAAGTGAAAGATTTGTAAATTGATTCTTTGAAACTATCTGTACCTCCCTTAAAAGTCTCTGCAGATGCCTAGATTACCACAAACTGAATTCCACTCCTCTGAGGTACGTAGGAACAGAGTTGTAAACTTGAACTGTTCTGATAAACTTTTCCAGAGTTACTCCTTTGGAGAAAGAACTGATTTTGAATGTTTGTGAGGTTGTATCACGTTACATTTTAAAATCTGCTTTTTGACCACTTGGCTAGTCAAAGTGTACAACTGTGTGTAATCTGAGATGTCACACCCCATTTATCAGCTGACTTGCTTTGTACATATACAGATTCTGAACTAAGCCATATTAAGGAATCATTAGCATAAATATTCTACCTGTTATGTAAGAGCATCATTAGGAGCTGTATATACAGTTATGGAAAAGCACTAGGGAATGAAATAGGCAGCTTTTATGTGTAAATATTGAATGAGTGCAACAGTCTATTAAACCATGAGAAAAGAACTCTAAATTTTCTTAAGTTGTATATTACTGCTGCTCATATTAAACCTTAACAAGCCAGTCACTTGCCTGTGGAATGTCTTAAAGTGTTTGGCTCAATTGTAGTACCTAGGTTGGCTCCAGGCAGAAGCATAAAACCTTCCAGAAAGGATATGTTTAGTGTTCAGTCTCTGAAGATACGAGCTGACCTTATCTTGGAATGCCAGTGTAGCTTCACATCCACAAGCATCTTCAGTGGAAACGAGTCTTCGTGCTTCCTCAATCACTGAAGACAATGACAGTACACAAATATACTATGTAGGAATAGCTATCTAGGAATCATAACAAATCAGGAAATCCACAATCAAATATTTCCACCATTAAGACCTACCAAAGTGCATTTTCCAAGAGGTAAAGGAATATATGAACAAACAAAAAGATGAGAAAATACTTATTATCACAGAAAAATTTATCTTAGGAGACATTGACAAAAATGTTTATAATTGTCAAGCTAAGTGATGCTTAAATGAGGGTTCATGATTTTCTTTCCTATACTTTTGTGATTGCCAGAAATTATTCATGATATAAAGTAAATTTAGAAAAACATGGTTGATATGGGTGGGGCAAGGATATAGAGATGAGACAGTGTTCATGTAATGCTATGTAATTAAGAAAATGGGCCTGGTACAGTGGCTTATTCCTATAATGACAGCACTTTTGGAGGCTAAGGCAGAAGGATTGCTTGAGGCCAAGTTTGAGACCACCCTGGGTAACAAAGCAAGGCCCTGTCTCTACAAAAAAGTAAAATAGTTAGCCAGGCATAGTGGCACACACCTGTAATCCCAGCTACTTGAAAGGCTGAGATGGAAGGATCACTTGAGCCCAGGAGTTCAAGGCTGCAGTGAGCCACGATCACACCACTGCACTCCAGCCTGGGTAACAGAGTAAAACCCTGTCTATTAAAAGTAAATAAATACAACTAGGACAATAGTCCTCTTTTTGTGTGGCCAAAATATATCAAAGATGAAAACAAGGCTCAGGCGCAGTGGCTCACGCCTGTAATCCCAACACTCTGGGAGGCCGAGATGGGTGGATTGCTTGAGGTCAGGAGTTTGAGACCAGCCTGGACAACACAGCGAAACCCTGTCTCTACCGAAAATACAAAAATTAGCCGGACATGGTGTCATGCACCTGTAATCCTATCTACTTGGTCGGCTAAGGCAGGAGAATTGCTTGAACTCTGGAGGAAGAGGTTGCGGGGAGCTAAGATAGCACCACTACACTCCAACCTGGATGACAGAGTGAAACTCCATCTCAAAAAAAAACAAAAAAAAAAAAGATAAAAACTAGGTTAAGTCCTGATTTCCTGTAGAGGACTGTTATTCTATTGAATGGTTTGAAGTGAGAGTCTTAGTTCTTAACAATAAATACTTTGGAACTAAAAATTCAGGTTTGTATTGACATTTAATCAAATATGAGAGGTGATAAAAGTAACTCCTATTTCTTTCTGTAATTCAGTGAGGCAGCTATTCCTATTCAGTATCAGGGCTCCTCCTAAAGTTGTGAGTAGAAATAAGAGTAACTTCCCAGGTCTGAAGACTGGTGTATCATTTTCCTATGGAGTAATGCTCCATAGGAAAGGACCTGAGGACAGGAAATGGTCCTTTGCTGCAATATTTTTACTCTAACATTTTACAAAGATCCAATATAGGGATGGGAGATCACAAATGCATTAAATGTAATCTATCATCTATCCACCTGTCTAAACCCTATTGAACCTTTTAGAGACAGCCAGCCCAAATCCCATCTTAGTTAATCAGTCAATAAACCAGGAATTAACTACTGAATATCAACTACATTTCCAGCATCCCTGTACCCATAAGATGAGTACTTATAATACTTGTTCAGCGTCTGTCTTGCCTGATAGACTCTAAGTTCTCTGAGGGCATGGGCTCAGTGGGATATTCTAATTAAAACACTTCATAGAAAATTATAGACCTGGGGGTTGTAGCAAAATTGAAAATGGAGAAATGGTGCTTATAATAGCACCAGAAAGAATAAGATAGTTAGGAATAAATATTTTTTAAACTGCAAGACTTGTACACTGAACACTACAAAATAATTTTGAAAGAAATTAAAGAAGACCTAAAAAAAAAAAAAAAAAAAGGACACACCACATTAATGGAACGAAAGACTCTTAAAATGGCAGTACTCCCCATATGGATCTCTAGATTCAACACAACATAGCTATCCAGTGCCCCAGCATCATTTGTGAAAAAGACTGTTCTTTCCCTTATCAAATGGTCTTAGTACCCACTACCCAACTTAAGACTTAAAACAGTATGAACACTGTTATACAGACATCATTTAGACAGCAAAATGATAGAAAGTATTTACAATAAGTAAAAACAAAAAATACCTTATGAAGAGTTCCTATGAATCAATAAGAAAAATACAAATAACCCAATTGAAAAATACAAATAACCCAATTGAAAAATACAAATAACCCAATTGAAAAATACAAAAAGGACATGAATAGCATTTCCAAATATGGAACTCAGTGACCAACAAGCATAGGAAGAGATGCCTCACCTCATTAGTAACTGGGAAATGAAAAAAATCCACTACATTGGCAGAAATTTAATTCAACAAAACCAAATGTTACCACAAATGTGGTTCTTGGATTCTGACAAGCAAAAGCATTGAGGGGAGAGTGGAAACAAGTGAGTGCAGGGCATGCTCCTGGACCATCAAACAGCCTACTGTGGCTGGACCATAGGACGCAGGCAGAAGCAGCAAATCTGGGGGCAAATAGAGGAGAAAAGTTTTAAAAGCCAGGATGAGACAAGCAGTTCCCACAGGCTGGGGGGCGTGGGTGATGGGCAGTTATTGTTTCATGGGTAGAGTTTTGGTTTGAGATGATAAAAGATTCTGGAGATGGATAGTGGTGATTGTTGCACAACAGTGTAAATGTACTTAATGCCACTGAACTGTACACTTGAAATAACTGAAATGGTACATTTTATGTATATTTTACCACAATAAAAAAATCCAGACCTAGGCAGAAGGTTTAATTAGAAAGAAAAATGTGAAAAAAAAGAGAGAAGACAAAGAGATCATGGAGGGTAGGCTGCCTGGTGGAGTATCACTGTTTTATTCTGTAGACCAGTGGAGAATACTGGAGAATTCTGACAAGGAAAAAAAATCACAACTGTGCCTTAGAAAGAAAAAAGCTTGCTCCTGGAAAATTCTCAAACCAAAGGAAATTGCCTTAAAGGGCTGGTCCTCACCTGAGCATGTTTTCTTGTCCTCATTCAAGGTGTAGCCAGGATAACAATCACAGTGGTAGGATGTGGCCCCATCACTAACACAAATGTGCTGGCAACCATGAGAGCCTAGGGCACACTTGTCACGGACTGACCGCAAATGGTGCAGGAAAAAAAATATTCACGCGTTAATTAAATAGAAAAGTAAACATAAACATCTGAGAGAAGAAGCTTCCATTTGGTCCCCGCAAGTGCTGACAATCAACCCATCAGTAGTCAGCAGCAGGCCCCATGCTGCAGGAGCAAGCCTGTTTTCTCTTCCCATACCTCTCATCCCTTTGGCCTCACAGCACACACGCTCCTTTCCTTTTTATCTCTCACAGATATCTAAGGGTGCCTTTTCTTTTTTTTTCTACCCACAGCACTGGGCAGCACTGAGTCTTGACTCTATTCCAGAACTTACTTCCAGCCTTTCCTGACGACCCCCAATGCTCCCAGCATCCCCAGCTCTCATGGATCATCATCATCATCACCACCAAAAATAATGTTTTAGGGACCTAATCATAAATGGAGCTCAGTTTGATGCTGCACCAAAAGCTCTATATTGACCAAGTGCCTGCCTTCATAGCTTACAAAGTGGAACAGAAAGCACTGACCTGGAGACACACGCGCACACACACAAGTACAGATGGGGAAATAATACCACGTTAGTAATTATGATGTGTATGCTTAGAGAGCAAAGTACTTACTATCTATCGCAAACAAATAACATTTCAGGGACAAACGCAGTTTGCCCAAGTTTGAAGGGAGAGCAGAGCAAATTGCCATCCTTGTCCCATGTTCAGACTGGCCTAGGACAACTAAAACAGCAATTCTCCTTTAAAACCCAGAAAGGCTTCCTGGAAGACACAGGTTCCTCCTCTGCCATTGCAGGAACCAAAATAGTTCTTTATTTCCTTCTAATTTTCCTCTTAAATGTCATTTCATGTGCAGGACTTGCGTGGCTCACTAGTGCCTAAAGAATAGCATTGTGTGAAATGCATGGCACCATACAATCTATACATAAAGTGCCTTTCCAACCTTAACATGGCTATTCCTTTTCAGTGCTACAATTTAGATTTGTTATCAGCAAAATGCCTTATAGCAGGGTGTTTCATTTTTTCCCCCTCATTCCATCTTAGTACCCACTCTACAGGTAAGAAATGGACATGCTTCCAGCCCCTGGCCCTGATCTAGGGCTCTACATTTAATTTACTTGCCTTCCTACCACTAGCAAGGGAAAAGCAGACCATTAGAAGGGATCTGCTCCATAGTATGTTGTATGTTTCCTACCTTTATAGCAATATTCACTATTCCTTCTTTCCTTTTTTTTTTTTGAGATGGAGTCTCACTCTGTTGCCAGGCTGGAGTGTAGTGGCACAATCTTGGCTCACTGCAATCTCCACATCCCAGGTTGAAGCAATTCTCCCGCCTCAGCCTCCTGAGTAGCTGGGACTACAGGTACACACCACCACACCCAGCTAATTTTTGTATTTTTAGTAGAGACAGGATTTCACCATGTTGGCCAAGATGGTGTCGATCTCTTGACCTTGTGATCCACCCACCTCGGCCTCCCAAAGTGCTGGGATTATAGGCGTGAGCAACTATGCCTAGCCATTCACTATTACTTTAATATGTATAAATAGGCCAGGCACAGTGGCTCACACCTGTAATCCCAGCACTTTGGCAAGCGAAGGCAGGTAGATTGCTTGACTTCAGGACTTTGAAACAAGCCTGGGCAAAATGTCAAAACCACATCTCTACAAAAAATACAAAAATTAGCCAGGTGTGGTGGCATGTGCCTGAAGTCCTAGCTACTCAGGAGGCTGAGGTGGGAGAATCGCTTGAGCCTGGGACGTGGAGGGTGCAGTGAAGCCGAGATCCCACCACTGCACTCCCGCCTGGGTGATAGAGGAGACCTTTTCTCAACAAAGAGAAGAAAAAAACAAATATATACTAACTTTCCCACTAGTGTATCTTCTGTTCCTCTTTGCTGTCTTGTGCTTTGTACACTAAGTATGGCTTAGGGGTTAAGAGCCTATGTAAGCACCAGAGCAAGTACCTGGGTTCAAACCCTGGCTCTGCTACTTACTAGCCAAGTAACCATGGGCAAGTTACTTAATCAGTTTCCTCCTAAAGCTGCTGTGAGTACTAAGCGGCATTACTGTAGCTAAAATGCCTAGAACCCCGCATGGCCTACAGTAGGCATTGAAGAATATGGGCTGCTGGCATCTGGGAGTATTGTCTGTCTTAACTGAAAATTTTCTTTGATGTATGTTTTTAAAAAATAAACTGCTTCACTTTATTCCATACTATCTGTTAGTCTGAATGGAAATCTGTTTTTGGTTTGTTTGCCCAGGTCTTCAATGTTCCTGGCAGCTTAAGGTACCAACTGGGACACTTGCCACTAGTTTGAGAAGTGCAGCCATAGGTGAATCCTCTACACCCAACTTTCTTAGTCATCCTGCCCTGAACGAATAAATTAGCTCAAGCCAGTCCCCTGCCAGTGCCACTTTGCTCTTCTCTCAATTGAAACCCTCACTATCCTTCAAGACCCAACACCACATTCACAGATGCCTGCCTCCCCAGCCTCGATAGCCCTTAGTGTCCATCAGTCCTCTCCCTGGCTCAGTTTCTGCTTTCAGAAGGAGCTGGCTGTCTGCTGGTGAGTTACAAGTTGGTTTCACTGTAAAAGACCCAAATATGAAAGAATTTGTTGAGTAGATCTTACCTGAACATGTTTTTTTATCTGCATTCAGAGTGTAGCCCTCATAGCATTCACAGTGATAGGAACCTGTTCTGTCATTCACACAAATGTGCTGACACCCATGGGCACCCAAAGCACATTTGTCTTGAGCTGTGAAACAAAAATTCACCAATGTTTAAGTTACTCAGAGGCAGAAACTGATGCTTCTTTATATGCTCACAATGCTTAGTGCCATACTGGGAACAAAGTAGGTACCTAGTACTTTTTATTGGTTTCCTTTTTTTTTTTTTTTTTTTAAGCAGGGGGGACTTAGTGACATGCCATTTCCCTTTGTTTATCTTGAAGTCTCTATCTCTTCAAGGGAGAGGAAAATATACATCAAATCTAAAACACATTCCATATGCCAAAGCTAAATGCCACCTTGAGAGCTTGGAATTTCTCTCAGAAGTTTTTTTACATTTATAAATGCCACCCTGTCCTGCCAGTAAGTTTAAATCAAATTAATGAGGATTAACAGCACTGGCATGGGGTCATTGGCCAACGTATAAGGCTTAGTTTCACTGATGATTGATCATCTAGAAACTGCCAGAGAGTGACTGGCCTCAAACTTACTGGAAGATCTGTGTGGGTCTAATTCAGGCATTCACAAAGTCTTCTTTACTAAAATCGCCCAGCTTTAAGATTAACACTACAGGAAACTTCCAGGCCAAGTTTTAACTGGAAAAAGATCAGTTCATCCTATCACACCAAATCGTTACTGTCCAACTGACTTCCATCAAAATTTCCTCTTTGCTTAAAAGTGCTCAGTGTACAGAACTATAAAATTTTCCTGGATAAGGACCCTACATTTAATTACTTTTCTCATACCCCCCACTCCCTATTTCCCAGTAATATTCTGAAGTAATCTATGTTTGCTCCAGTGAGCTCACCACCCTCTGAGCAATGTGTACCTTCATCTAAAACTGCGGTAGCATGTCTGAACCTTGATTTCTTAAGTTACCTTTAAGAACCTCTTTGCTGATGAGTTGCAAGTTGGTTTCACTGTAAAAGACCCAAGTATGAAAGAATTTGTTGAGTGGATCTTACCCGAACATGTTTTTTTATCTGCATTCAGAGTGTAGCCCTCATAGCATTCACAGTGATAGGACCCCGTTCTGTCATTCACACAAATGTGCTGACACCCATGGGTACCCAAAGCACATTTGTCTTGAGCTGTGAAACAAAAATTCAGGAGAAAAGAAATAAAAGGTGGAAGACTCTTTTATTACCCATGGATAGAAACCTTATTTCCAGCTAGCAACATATGAGGAAAACTTACTGGCAACTATTCAAAGCCATTGGCGCTGTTTTTTCTAACTAGAAGTTAACTGAGTTAAATGAAATCCTGCACATACAATAATTATTCTCTGACCTTCCCCAATTTCTTCTCAAAATCATCACTATTGAGTTTTTACAACCTAAGTATCTCATAAATACTTTTTTTTTTTTTTTAAGACGGAGTTTCGCTCTTGTTACCCAGGCTGGAGTGCAATGGCGTGATCTCGGCTCACCGTTCCTCCGCCTCCGGGGTTCAGGCAATTCTCTTGCCTCAGCCTCCTGAATAGCTGGGATTACAGGCACGCGCCACCGTGCCCAGCTAATTTTTTGTATTTTTACTAGAGACGGGGTTTCACCATGTTGACCAGGATGGTCTCCAGGATGGAGACCAGGTGGATCTCCTCGTGATCCACCCACCTCGGCCTCCCAAAGTGCCGGGATTACAGGCTTGAGCCACCCACCGGGCCCGGCCCCTCATAAATACTTTCTAAAGCATTCCTTTAGACTTATTATACTTATCCCAACTCAGAGGGATACCAACAGTTGTGTGACTAATTATACTGGATTCAGAAAGACATAGAAATAGAGTTTGAAGAAATTGTAGTTCAACCCTCTCCTATTTTTAAAATGAGAGAAAGGAGCCCAAGGGAGACCAATGGATTCAGAGCAGCATAAGAACTCAAGACTCATTCAATGCACTTTCCTCTGTACTGATATACTTTTAACTATATTTTATTTTTAAACTTTTGAGATAATTTCAGATTTATAAAAAAGTTGCAAAAACAGTGCAAAAATTCCTGTACTTCACCCTGTTTCCCCAAACAGTAATTTACATAACCATAGTATGATTATCAAAGTAGAAATTAACGTTGATAGACTATGATTTACAAATCTACAGACTTTATTCAACTGTTGCCATGAATGCCTTTTTTTCTGGTCCAGGACCCAATCCACAATTCCACGTTGCATGAAGTTTCACATGTCCTCCAATCTGGGACACTTCCTAAGTCGCTCTTTGTCTTTTACGACTTTCACACTTCTGAAAAGCACTGGGAAACTATTTTGTGAACTGAGAACGTCTCTCAGGTTGGGTTTTTCTAACGTTTCCTCATGATCCTGAATTTTTAACAAGAATACTACAAGTGTGCTGTTGTGTCCACAGTATTGAGCCCAGCATGTCAGGTCATTCATAATGTCACTATGTGTCATCACTGATGTGAACTTTGATCACTTGGTTAAGCTGATGTCTGCCAATTTCTCCACTATAAAGTTACTGTCTTTCCCTTTGTAAGCAACAAGTACATCGTGGGTTGTTATGTGATTCAACCTACTAAATTGTCTGTAGCATTTGGGAAGGATTGTTCAGGCTGGGCACAGAGAAGGAAATGAGCAACACATTTATATGTTTGGGTGGAGATACATATATGTTACCATTTCTAACGTTTAGATAAGACTTAGAAATGGGAAAAGCTCAAGGTACCGAAAGAGGAAAACACACCTACTTCTCAGTCAGTGTGACCTGCCCTTCCATCACTGGGTACGTAGGCAGATAGCTAAACAGCAATAGGAAAGATTCTCCCTCACTTACCTGAACAAGTTTTCCTGTCTTCATTCAAGGTATAACCTTCATAGCATTCACAATGATAAGAGCCACTTCTGTCATTCACACAGACGTGCTCACATCCATGGGTGTTAAGAGCACACTTATCAAGAGCTATGAAAAGATGATTGAGACAAAGGTAAATGCATGCATGGCAGCAATAAATAATTATGGGCCATGCCACTTACACACACACAGAGAGAGAGAGAGAGAGAGAGAGAGAGAGAGCGCTAATAAAACAAGGGAGGGGTGGCTGGGAGTTGGGAATCAACCCTTTGGTCTTGGCTCTTTCACTGACATACCCTGTAACATGGGTAAGTTTTCTCCTTTCTGTCCATCTCAATTTCATTATCTATAAAATTAAACTATCTCTAAGTTTTCTTTCTCCCAAAAACTTTTTTCTGGAATTAAAAAAAAAAATCTAATTCCCATTCCTCATTGACTCCATATACGGATCTACGTACCAGACCAGTGAGTACCCCTCTAACTTCCCTACTTCTTCTAGATTCCATGAGCATCTATGACTATAGAGAGGAAGAGAGTAGCTTGTGTGTAATTCAATAAAATCCAGGAAAAATTCCAAATCCTCAAGAGGACTAAGAATCTTGGACCTTTTCTTTTCCCCCTTTCTTTTTTGCTTTTGTTTTTTATGAGACAGGGTCTCCCTCTGTCATGCAGTGGCATTATCATAGCTCACTGCAGTCTTGACCTCCTGGTCTCAAACAATCCTCCTGCCTCAGCCTCCCAAGTAGCTGGGACTATAGGCATGCACCACCACATGTGGCTAATTTTTTAAATTTAATTTTTGTAGGATGGGTGTCTCACTGTGTTGTCCAAGCTAATTTCAAATTAGGCCTCAAACTGTCCTACCATCTCAGCCTCCCCAAATGTGGAAATTATAGGCATGAGCTACCGCACTCAGCCTGGACCTCTTTCTTAGCAGCCTTTTCTCCTATGATTTTATTTAAAACTTAAAAGATATGGAAATAAGCTGATTTACATATCATTTCACTTTCCTCCCTAAGCTCCTTTTCAGGGAAAACTGCTGATGAACAACAGTAAACCAGGCAAAAGGCAGCTAAGTAAAAAGGGGTCAGAGAGTCAAAGCACAAGGCCAGTCCAAAACCTGGAGCACAGGTTCCCCAGTAATTTGATTCAGTCATGGCCCCCTACGCAGGCCTCACCTGAACATGTTTTCTTGTCAGCATTCAAGGTGTATCCTTGGCTACACTCGCAATGGTGCTTGCCCTCCCCATCACTGATGCAGACGTGCTGGCACTGATGCGTTCCGAGCATGCACGGGTCCAGCGCTGTGCAGAGGAAGTTCAGAACCGTCAGCACTGACACTTAGGAGACATCTCAGATACTTTCTCCCAGGTCAGATAGACATTGCTCTCCAGGTTCCTTTCCCAGTCTATCTTTACTTCACTATAAAAATTGGCTGTTTTCTACCTCTGGCTTATTAGCAATGCTACTCTTAAACTAGAAATGTTACTAATTTAAAAGTACACTTCTTGCTATATAGATTTTCTCAAAGGAGAAAGGGAGTTTGAAATTTGGAACTGAAGCCAAACACTTACACAGGCCAGGCAATTGATGTTTTATTTGGCTTATCCACCTCCCTATGAAGAAAATATTTGTGCTTCCCCACCACAAGAAATGGAAGAACAATAATATACAGCCTGAAGTGCTACAAGCTAGTTGTCCCACTGTAGCCAGAATCTGATTTCCAAGAGTTCTATAGTCTATGTCTAAACAGAATTCTCACACAAGCATAGGACTAAGTCTAGAACCAACTCACAGGTGGGCAGTGGTATATATGGTCGAGGGCAATTCAGGTAACTGTTTTCTGAATATGTAAGATGGGTGAACTCATCCATACGCTAAATCCATAATGAATTCATATGTTAATACAAACAGGTAAAAAGAAAAGGAAGATCAAAATAAATGAGATTACATTAGCTAAACTACATCTCCATATTTTTGCTCCTGGAGTGATTTATGTCTCATTGGATATTTTTTTTCTAATGGCCTGTTTTGAAAGATGAATCAATGAATTAAGTCATTTCTGAGAAACCAAGGAGGCCTGTTGGAGGAGGCTGGCCCTCCTATGGCAGGTAACCCAGCCTCCACTGCCCTTGGCAACAGGACAAGGCTAATATTTTCCCAAGAAGGGCCTTTTCATGCAATGATCTTTCCAAGCAGTTGACTACCACAAGCTGCCCCTCAGTCTTTTTTCCATAGAGAGGACATTTTTCTCCCAGAACAGGCAGATCTTTTGTACCAGAAGGAAAAGATTGCCACTCACCACTTGTTACTTTATAGCCTTTGAAGCCCACCCCCAGGTGCTAGCTTTGAAACCCAACTTTGCCACAGACCAGCATGTTGATGGAAAAGCTCTCACCCACAAGCATGGAGTGGGAGGGTGATTTCCTGGGAGAAAGAAAGCCACTTTCTTTTTGGAAGCCAATGAATGCCAAGTAGATGCTACCAAAGCCAGTGATGGCTTGTGAAAGCCTAGTGTCCTGGGACAGGAAAGACAAGGGGATCCCAGCCAAGTTTGGCTGCAATGAGGCCAAACTTCATCCCAGACCAAGACTTCATCCCCCTTTTCCTGACAAACCGTTTATGGCTGGGTTTCGCATTAACTTAGATAAAAAGTCTCTTTGAAATTTACAATTGTAATTAATTATTGGTTCATTTGTTTGTTTCACTCCCACCCCCAGATTGTTACATGATGGTAGGGAGGGATTACTTTAATTTTTGTACCATCAGAGATCAACAAATGCATGCATGGAACAAATTATATTGCAAAAAGGTATCTCTGTTTAAAAATTCGCCTGAACTAGAAATTTGTCCACAACTGCTTGGATATTCACATACAGGCATCAGAAGATTATTTCCAGATGATAAAAAATAAATCATGAGTCCCACAAATCATAATTCTGACCAGTGAGTAAAAATAAGCTCCAGCATTAAATGGATCTGTATTCCTAGATTTGATCAATTTATGCCAAAAAGTCCAATAAAATTAGCATATTCTTATTCAAATTCCATCCTAAATGATGGAGGGAGTAGCAGAGTAACAGAATGATTTCTTAAGATCATCTTGCTTTCCTTCAAGTGCACTGAAACCCTAAACTGCCTGGTCCCTGAATCCTGTTGTTCAACAAAGAGTAATCAGATAAAGGGCCCAATCTGAAAACAAGAGCGTTCACTAACTGTGCGCTCGGGCTGACGGTGACGTTGGAATAGAGGCCTGCTGACTCCCAAGGACAGATGCTGCTCCCTGCCTTCTACAGGAGAACAAACAGAGTTCTGTTAGATCTAGAGATGGTAAAACTAAAAAAATATGTATCAGGGGAAAAAAATGTAGTGGTGGGGCAGAGAGGGCAGGAGAGTTTTGTTTTTCCTTACCCTTACAGGGAACAGCGGGGTCATTTATCCTGGATGTTTGCAGACCTTCACAGTTCTAACGCAAACATGAAGATTTTATGAGGAAACCAACTTCCATATAATACAGCTCTATATTCCTAAACCACCATCGTGTGCTTAGGTTGGTCACATGTGCACGCGCACGCACACACACACACACACGCACACACGCACACACACGCGCACACACAGACACGCACACGCACAGACACGCACACACACACGCACACACACAGACACGCACACACACACGCGCACGCGCACACACACACACGCACACACACACACGCACGCACACACACACGCGCGCACACACACACACACACACTGGATATATTTAAGTTTTTCATTAAATTTCCACCAAAAAAGAAAATAAAACTATTTTCTCTGGGTATATAATGTCTGAATATAACATCCTTTCTAGTTGGAAGCAACGACTGACCAACTTACCACAAAAGGTTTCCTGGAATCTAGAGGACAGTTTCTCAATGACCCCATAGGTCTCCACATAGAAAACATGCTCCTCTAGGGGCTCACTGGCCATCATCTTGAGGGACTCCATGTCTGCCCGGTCCACGCCTACAGCATAGAGCTCAATACCAGAAGCTCGGGCCCGAGCCGCCACCTCATTCACCTGGTCCTGGGGCCTCCCATCTGTGACAATAATGGCCACCTTAGGAACATTAGAGGAGGGCCCTCGAGCACCTGCCTCCAATGTGAAGGCTTCATCCATTGCTGTCTGGATGGCCAGGCCTGACATGGTGCCTGTTGACAAGGGTGTGATTCGACCCACAGCCTGCTTCAGGGACTGCTTATCTGTGTAGGCCTGGAGTTGGAACTCAATCTTCACGGTGCTAGCATAGTTCACTACTGCCACCCGTGTGTCGGCCGGCCCGATGTCCAGAGTGTCGATTATCCGGGAGACGAAAGTTTTTACTTTGGTGAATTCCAGGGGCCGTACGCTACGAGAACTATCAATGATAAACACCAGGTCCAAGGGCCTGCTCTTGCAAACACCTGCAAAAGACCAAGCAATGATCAGACCACAGTTAGAAATGCAATAATCCTCACTTCCAGAGAACTCTGGGATTCCAGGAGGCCAGGCAAAGCAGCATCTCCTGACCCCAACATCACCACGCCTGTGACCTCCAAGACCATCTTCCCTTTCGGTATTGAAAGCACCAAGGACTTCAGAACTCTGTGGTGAGAATTCACCTAGAGATGTGAAGTTTCCCCAAATACCTCACCTGCAGGCTGGCTGAACCCTGAAATTTCACTTAGAACCTCATCCCTCTGCTTAAACTTTTGTTCCCAAGGGCCCTCAAGATTGCTGAGAAATAATGGATTCTAAACATTTCTTAAGCACCTTGGCTATCTGGAGACAATTGGACAACGTACCCCTGAACCATGTAAAAGGCTCTGGGCCCTCAGGGACAGACTCACTGCAAACCACTGTGCCCAGGCCTCAGGCAGTGACAGTCTGAGGCAAGGCACTCAGGGGCTCTTCTGGTGGCCCCTTTCTTGTACTACACTTCTAAGGGGGTGAGAACTGCTCCAGAATCCCTGAATCTTCCCTCTATCTGACCATCATTTCTGTTTAGTGAATTTGGGGGCCCACTAGAGCCCTGAGCTAATTAAAAGTAGAAAGAGGGATGCCAACTTAATCTTAGATCTGTTTAATCTTAATCCCATCTGTTTAGTCCACTTCCAACTTCGTGAGCATGTCTTGTAAGAAGCAGGGATTGTGATCTGGTATCTACCCTACTGTGCCATCAAACTCTCTTGGTCATCTCTCTTTCACTTATTCATTCACCAAAAACATTTTTTGAGGGCCTACATGTATGAAGCCCTGGAGCTACAAAAATGAATAAACCAGATTCCCCACCTTTAAACAACTTATCTCTTTTCTACACAAAAGTACCTGACATACTATGGTATTACAGTACATTTTAGTGTTGAACTATTCTTTCCCATTCTTTCCTGTTTCTCCCAACCGGTTTGCACACTCTCTCTTCTCAATACAAAAATCAAATCCATAATTCAGGGTGAGATGAGAAAAAAGCCAACCATTAAATTTCTTTTTCTTTTTTTTTTTTTTTGAGACGAAGTCTCACTCTGTCGCCCAGGCTGGAGTGCAGTGGTGCAATCTCAGCTCACTGCAACCTCTGTCTCCCAGGTTCAAGCAATTCTCCTGCCTCCGCCTCCTTAGTAGCTGGGACTACAGGCACACGCCACCACATCCAGCTAATTTTTGTATTTTTAGTAGAGATGGGCTTTTGCCATGTTGACCAGGCTGGTCTTTAACTCCTGACCTCAGGTGATCTGCCCACTCTGGCCTCCCAAAGTGCTGGAATTACAGGTGTGAGCCACTGCGCCCAGCCCTAAACTTCTTTTTCAAGCCTTTTTTTCCCTTCTCACCCAACACATATGCACATGCATCCAGGCATTACACGCATGCAGCCTAAATGGAAGTGAGGTCCTGGGGCATGAGGTGTCACTCAGGGCTCTTTTCTTTCCCAATAAGGAGGCAGAAGTTGATTAAGAAGGTAATTCACTTAGTGAGTAGGAAAAAAGGTAGATTCAAAATTAATGCCTAGACTAAGCAGTTTATAGAAAAAAAGCCTTACCTAGAACAGCCTACCTTATGTCTCTGTCTAGTTTTCTTTTAAAAGCAGAAAAGTATCTTCTTATTTTTAACCTGTTGTTTGGAGGTATTTAAGAAATAGAAAGTTTTCCCTTTCAGTAATGCTTTAGGAATCACCAACTACCAACACATCAACCCTGTGAAGCTGGAGGTGCAGAGGTCGTTTTTATACCCATTTTACAGGTGAGAAACCTGAGGTTCAAGGAGGTGTGAAACTAGAAAGTGGTAGAGCATGGACTGGACTCCAGGCTTCCAGACTCCCAGCCCCTGGGGGCTTGCTACTGAATCCCAGTCACTTCTCTCTGAGACAACATTTTCCTCCACAAAAATCAATATTCTCTTATGTATTTAGTAAACATCCTGCATGTTGACTTTGAGCCACCGCCCTGAAATATGCTGTATGTCATGTATTTAGTTAAGTCAAAAGGAATTAAAGCCAGGCACAGTGGCTCACGCCTGTAATCCCAATACTTTGAGAGGCTGAGGGAGAAGGATCACTTGAGCTCAGGAGTTCTAGACCAGCCTGGGAAACATAGGGAGACCTCATCGCTACAAAAAATTTAAAAATTAGCCAGGCATGGTGGCAGGCACCTGTAGTTCCAGCTACTTAGGGGGCTGAGGCAGGAGGATCACTTAAAGCCAGAGAGTCAAGGCTGACGTGAGCTACAATCACACTACTGCACTCCAGCCTGGACAACAGAATGAGATCCAGTCTCTAAAAGCAAAAAAAAAAAAGGAATTAATTAAAGTTCTTTCTTTATTTAAAATAACCAACTCCAGCAGCCATAAAAAAGCATGAGTTCATGTCCTTTGGGACATGGATGAAGCTGGAAGCCATCATTCTGAGCAAACTAACACAGGAACAGAAAACCAGACGTCGCATGTTCTCACTCATAAGTGGGAACTGAACAATGAGAACACATGGACACAGGGAGGTGAATATCACACACCAGGACCTGTTTGGGGACGGGGGCTAAGGGGAGAGAGAGCATTAGGACAAATACCTAACGCATGTGAGGCTTAAAACCTAAATGATGGGTTGATGGGTACAACAAACCTGCAAGTTCTGCATGTGTGTCCCAGAACTTAGAGGTTTGAAAAAGAAAAAAGATCTGAATAGCAAACATTTGTCATCCATTGTCTCTAAGGTTAGCCACTGTAAGACTTCGAAAGAACCTTGGTCTCTACAATCTTTTATCTTAACCTGAACATTTCCTTTCTGTGGATCCCAGGTCTTTAGACAAACTCAACGGTCAACCAGAAAATGTTTAAATTTTCTTACAGCCTGGAAGCCCCACCACTACCAGCTTTGAGTTGTCCTACCTTTCTGGACCAAACCAATGTATTTCTTAAACGTATCTGATTGATGTCTCATGCTTCCTTAAATTGTATAAAACCAAGCTGCACCCTGACCACCTTGGGCACATGTTCTCGGGTCCTCTTGAGGGCTGTGTCACAAACCATGGTCATTCATATTTGGCTCAGAATAAATCTCTTCTAATATTAAATAAATAAAACCTCCAAAATTTTACTTCATTCCTGGAAAGTCCCATAGATCTAGAACTAAGAATAATTATGTTGAAAATCTTTCCTGGAGATGGGTCAGAGTATTTTTGTATAATTAGAAAAAGAAAGGCAGGGTGGCAACATGAAGATATGAACTTTGTAATTGACAGTTCTTTCACCAACACCCAAATGATGTCCTTATAAATATCATGGCTATGTTCTTACAACTAGACATGTATGATTCCTTTCTTCTCCACTTGGTCATTCACACCAAATCCTCTATTTAGGGTGTGATATGCAGAATTAAGCACCCTGAAAAGACATATATGTCCTAATTCCAGAAACATGCTACTTTTATGTGGCAAAGGGCAGAGACTTTGCAGGTGTGATTAAGTTAAAGACCTCCACGTGAGAGGTTATCCTGGATTATTTAGTCAGTCATTGTAATTATGAAGTAGAAGAGGGAGGCAGAGGAAAGAAATGTGAGTAACTCAATGTGAAAATGCCTCAACCTGCTTAGCTGGCTCTGAAGATGGAGGAAAAGGGCCATAAGCCAAGGAACTCAGCAGCCTTCATGCACTGGGAAGGGAAGGGAAATGGATTCTCCCCTAGAGCTCCCGAGAAGAACGCAGCCCTGCTGATGCCTTAATTTTACCCTACTGAGACCAGTGTCAGACTTCTCACTCACAGAACTCTCAGATAATAAATGTATGTTGTTTTAAGCCACAAAATTCATGGGTGATTTGTTACAATGGCCATTGAAAAGTAATACCTGAGGCTTGATCAGGGTGGCAGAACATTCTGTGAACATCTGGTTCCTTCCTGATTGGTACTCACTCAGCATCAATCATTAGTTGTTTTTGAATCTCACTCCCATTTACTAGATAACAGCAATGTGATTCCCAAGAACAAAGAATCTGAATCTCCTAAAATGTTACCAGACTCACAATACTGTCGAGTCCTTGTAGTCCTGCTAGAAATAAAAGCCCATACCAAAGCTCAGAATTTCCGGTTGCTAAAAGGAGAGAAATTGGAAAAGGGTGGAATCTAGCATTTATTAAGATACTATCATTCATGAGCAGGTTCAGACTCCAGCTAATGAACGACCAGTGCAGCTTAGGGGAACACGGCCACCTGGTGCTGAATCTCTCCTTCCTCTTCCAGTCCCATCCCAGAGGGAGGCTGGTCAGTACTAGAGCAAGGTTAACTTCTAGAAGAGAGGCTTTCCTCAATTCCCCACCTGGAGCAAACAGCTACCAGCTGAATCTAACCCTGTGGACCCTGGCACCTCCTGCCTCAGTAGCAATTGCTTTTGCCATTTCAAATCTGCCACTTCAAATACTGGAACTGAGTATTTGAGTCAGGAAAGAGTCCCTTGAACTCCTTCTCAGCTTATCCAGAAAGATGCAGAAGGGGTCAGACAATGCAAATAAGCCTGAGGCATGCAGCCTGGCTGGCCAGATGAGACTGCAGACCCAGAAATGGTCTGGCACAGACTGTCTTTAGCAAGAGTGGAGCTGGGGTTTTTGGAAATAAAGATACAATCTTACGCAAACCATATTAAGAGGTCGGTAGGCTGGGACAGTGGAAAGAGTTTTGCTTGGGATTTTGGAGCCCTCAATTTTACGGTGGGTTCTGACACTGATTCACAGAGTCCCTTCAATTTGATACGCCTCAGTTTCCCCGCATGTGCTGTCAGGGGCTGTGTCAGACGACCTACCCACTTCGCAGCACTAGAAGCTTTGCTCTGGTTCAGGAATCCATCACTGACCAAAGAGATAGAATTGTTCGCCAAAGACCCAGAGTGTCTTGGCCCTGGAGTAACCTGTGGCTCTTCGGGTCTCCTGGTCTCACACCCCCATCCCTTACTTCCAGTATGAGGCAGCCTGAGGGCTGTGGGAGGGGAGGAAGGATCACCCCCTGATATTGGTTGGAGACGGAGGGATTCAAAGAGAACAACGGAATCTCAGGAAGGGTTTGCCGAGGTCAGGATTGGGACGGAGCTGGGCGGCAGCCCCTGCGCTCCCCAGCTGCCCTGTGCTCCTCGCCAAATCACAGGGGAGGCTGCGTGAGTTAGAGCTTCAGGAGACCCACATTCCTAGCCTGGACACATGAGTAATGTTGGGCATCTCCCTCCCCTTCTCTGAACCTCTGCTTCCCCAACAGGATTCAGCCGGGGAAGGGCCTCTTTCTCCCGCTCCACGGTCTGCCCGAGGCCCGCTGCGGAGAGCTTGGGGGATGCCCGGGCCTCTCCTCCTCCGCACATGCTCGCGCGTCCCTCCCGCAGCCAGCCTGTACCTGCGCCGCGGGCGCGGCCGGGCTCGCTGGCCCCTGAAGAGGGCGCGCCGTCGGGAGCCACGGGAGAGGGGCGGCTTCCAGGGCTGCCCCCGGGGCCGCGGGTCCCCAGCCTCCGCAAGCCCAGGCGGGCCACGGGGTCGGGGACGGCGGGGGGCGGCAGCAGCAGCAGCGGCCAGAGCAGCAGGAGGAGCCCCGGGAGGCGGCGCGCGGGGGCCGGGCGCGGCATGATGGGCTCGGCTGGCCTCGCTGTGTCCGTCGGGGGCTGGGAGCCCACGCAAGGCGCCGATTTAAAGGTCCCGCGGCCTCGGGCCACGCCCGCCCGGCCACGCCACGCCCGCCCCGGGGCCTCGAACGCCAGGCGGGCCCGGGGAACCCCGCCCAAGACCAACAAGGATCCTTGTCCGCGCATTCCAGCGGCAGAAATGGAATGTCTGGGCGAGGCGGCCAGCGGCGCGGTGGTCACCTCCTGCCCCTGCCCTGCGTCCCGAGCCGGCTGCAGCTGGGTGGGCTCGGCTGCCGTCGCAGCCTCCGTCCTCCCAGTCACACCGGGGCGGGAAGCACCCATCCGCGGCCGCGGCCTTCCCTGCCCTCCGCTCTCTCGCCCACCGCAGAGGGGCCTACGCCCCAGGCCCGGGATGGGAAGCCCTGGACTCTGCCTTCCCTTCCGCCCCTGCTTCGCCCGTCTGGGGCTGAAGGTGAAACCCTGCTCCTTGCTCTACATTCCTTTCCTTAGCCGAGTAACCCAAGTTTTGCTGTGGGCTCTTGGTTTAAAAAAAAAAAGAAAAAGAAAAGGCCTCACAGATTCTAGGGGCATGAATAGAAACGCTTTCATCCGAGCTTCAAATATCCACAGACATTTGAACTTATCTTACCAGGAAAAGAAAGTCAAACACACATTCCCCAGAGAGCCCGGTTAGCTGGAAGGACGGCCTGCACCAACACAGGCTTCAAAGGCTCCCCTAGACCCCATTTCCTCTCCGGAAGGGTTACCGTGGTGCAGGGCTGGAGGCTGCCAGGGGACCCCCAAGGAGCTCACTGTCTATGGGAAGGAGATATGCATAAATGCAGTGCCTGCCTATGGGAACGTGGTGGATTTAGGAAAGAGACACTGACTGCCTGCGGAGACCAGGAAGACTTCTAAAACCAGGTGACATTTGAGCTGTCTTAAACCATGACAGTGAGCTCATCTGATCGTCCTATTTCATTATTTTCCCTCTACAAGCCATCCTCCAGGCAGGATCCTAAACCTCGCATCTCATATTTGTACCCCATGTTGGTAGCAGCATTATACACAATAGCCAAGAGGCGGCAGCAACCCGAGTGTCTCTCTTTGTATGAATGGAAAAGCAAAATGCAGTTATCTATGTACAATGGAATACTATTCAGCCTTAAAAGGGAGAAAATTTTGGCATATGCTTCAGCATGGATGAACCTTGAGGATATTATGTTAAGTGAGATAAGCTAGTCACAAAAAGACGTATGATTCCATTTACACGGGGGATCTAGAGTAGTCAATTCATAGAGACAGAAAGAATGATGGTTACCAGGAGGTGGGGTGGGGAGTTGTATAATGATCAATGACACTGGGCAGTGATAGTCACGCTGAGGGAAACTGTCACTCAATTCTCAGTGAGAACTCACCAATTTAGAAGGACCTTAGGAGAAACGAGAAGTTTGTAAAAATGGGAAGAAGACACTAAGAAATTTGAAAGAAGCTATGCCAAGAAGAGAAGAGACTGGTAAACACAGTATTTGCAAGCTCTGGTGAACATTTGTCATTTGTCTTGCTTTAGGATGATTCCCCAAAGCCTTTGAACCCTGCATTGGTCAAAGTTCTTGAGAGGAACAAAACCAATAGATTTTATATACACATACATATAGAGAGAGGGTGGGGGGAAAGATGGAGATTATGAGAGATTGGCTCATGCAATTATGAAGGCTGAGAAGTCCCACCATCTGCTTTCTGCAAGCTGGGGGCCCAGGAAAGCCAATGGTGTAATCCAGTCCAAGCCTGAAGGCCCAAGAGCAGAGGAGCCAATGACTTAAGTCCCAGCCAGAGTCCAGAGACCCAAGAACCAGGAGTGCTGAGGTCCAAGGACAGGAGAAGCTGGTTGGCCTGTCTAAAGCAGAAAACACATTTGTCCTTCCTCTGTCTTTTTGCTCTATTCAGGCCGGCAACAGATTGGATGATGCCCACTCCCCTCACATTGGTGAAGACGATCATCTTTGCTCAGCCTACTGATTCAAATGCCAGTCTCGTCTAGAAACATCCTCACAGACACACCCAGAAATAATGTTTAACAGCTAGCTGGACATCCATTAGCCCAGTCAAGTCAACACATTAAAATTCACCATCACAAATACCGTCCCAAATTTAGGGATTTCCAACTTCATGAGTCAGCACCTCCCCAAGTTGACTCTAAGAACTTGCTTCCCAGCATCTCTTGCAGCTAGGTTCATAAGTGGCCCAGACTTCATTGGTCATATGTAGTGTCTGTGCCAAGCAGCAGTGACTCTAGGTCTCCCATAGAGCAAACCTGCAATATAATTTTGGGAACGGTTGATAACTGTGTGGCTTCCAAGCTTGATTCTTACACCTCTTCAGAAATAATTTGAGCCACTTAATATCCAGGGCTACATATGGGTGGTGGAGGTGCACATTGCACAGTTTCACAGGGACACTATTCACATTCATAGTCAACACATATTGATTATAACATTTGGAAATCCACTTCAACTGGGCAGTGGCGTTTCTTGAGGAATGGTTGGCTTTTCCATTTGCACTTTGAGCTAGTAGTGGGGCAAATAATGTTTTTAATGTATACTTTTTCTATCTCTTCTTTATTATTATTATTGTTATAAATAGGGTCTCATTCTGTCACCCAGGCTGGAGTGCAGTGGTGCCATCAGAACTCACTGCAACCTCAACCTTCTGGGCTCAAGGAATCCTCCAGGCTCAAGCAATCTTCCTCCGTCAGCTTCCCAAGTAGCTGGGACCACAGGTGTGCACCACCACGCCCACCTATTTATTATTATTATTATTTGTAGATACAGGATCTAATTATGTTGCCCAGGCTGATCTACAACTCCTGGGCTCAAGCGATCCTCCCACCTCAGTTTGCCAAAGTGCTGGGATTACACATGTGAGCCACTACGCTTAGCCTTTTTTTCGGGTCATTCTAGCAGGAATAGGTTCTGTTTGCAATTAACAATGAGGATATTCAGTCTTATGATTTTTTCCTATTGCATACCACTGGGGGGCACTGTTTCAAACAGCTCAAAATAAAAATCTCAGCTCCCAAGTGAATGTTCCTACACCTTACTTGTCAGTAACTCAAGACAGTTCCAGACGCTGGTATATGAAAGTTATGCCATCTTGAATGAAATAGAAATTGTCTGATAAGTTTGTATCTCCAGAGTTCACACTCCAGGGCGGTTGTCTTACATCTGACACCCAAAGATTGTAAAATAAAACAAAGGTAGCTCTTCTGACAGAGGGAATCAGGCGGCGGCAGGGCTTTCCTGCATGTCACCAACTCAACTGGCTGCTGGCCCAGGTGGTGACTTCGCTTTCAGGTGTAAAAGCTACATTTCTCTACCACTGCATATTATCTTCTACTACTTTGTCAAGATAAAGACTAAAATAATTTTTTGATAACCTAAAGATTTAGATCATAAAAGAGCCAAAGTTTTTTTTTAACTATTCAAAAACTTGAAAAAATGCAATTAATAAAGATTTATATATACACTTTACATTGTTTTTAGAATGTTATCATGTTTAAAATAGGTAATACGTGCACTTGGTCTAAATTTTGAAAAGCAAAAAACAAAAACAACCAAATGTTAGGATCACTTTCAACTGTGCATCACTTCTTATAAGCAAAACCATTCAACGTGTTGGGAGAATTATTTTTCTCACAACTAGGATTTCAAAGTAAAATAAGACTTGGAAGCTACTTGAGGAAGCTTCTCCTGCTTTGCTGCCCTTGGTGTGTGAGTTTTGTTCTCAAGGCTGCTGGACCTCCAGGTATCATGTTGGCATTCCGCGATAAGAGAAGAGGGAAGGCCGAAGATCGAAGGACAAACCGATTTTCTGCTGTCATCACAGGCCCATGCCTGGCCACAAGGGAGTTTTGGAAGGTAAGTTTTTTAGCTTTTTTTGATCCACACTGAAGAAAGCAAAAGAAAACACGGTTTGGAATGGGATGTAGGGAGCAGTGGCCATCCTGAGCGTCATGATAGCCGTCTTGTGATCTTGTTGCTCAAGCTTCTGCTTCCCTTATCTAAGTTTCATGTTCTTCTTAGTCATGAGACCAGCCTGCAGCCTCGTCTCCATGGTTACTTTCTGACGTCAGAACTCAGAGCTTCCCGCCTCTGCTTGCTTATAAGCAGCTGCTTTGTGCCTAATAAATGAGACTTGATCAGATCTTTGACTTGTCTCCATTCTTCACGTCTTCTGTCTCTCTCTAAATCCCCTCTCCCTCCCTAGGGTCTCCGTTGCTCGTCCCGCGGGTCGGGACAATGGGAGTTGACAGCTAACCCGTGGCATATGCTACTGGCGTACAGTGAGAAGGAACTATCCCAACCACCTGTACCCCACTGTGGTGACACCACTGTTGCCAGTGTCTTGAATGTGCATAGACTTGTAGATATAAACGTTGAAAAATACGTGTGCGGACATCCACTGTTCTGCTGAAAGAAGACATATTTTCCAACTTTAGACCAAAAAATCTACCCCCAAACAAGTTGAAAAGGTCTTTGATTCCACGGATGCATTGGAGAAAATGTCAAAAGATGTCCCAGGGCTTTTTTAATCTGACCAAGAAAATGACAGACCATGCACTTGGAGAAAAACTTTGTTTTGTTTTGTTTTCAAAATCCTCTCAGTCCCAAAGTGGAAGTCTTTTCCCGAAGTATAGAACTCTTTACCTGCTTATGTTTCCTGCAACCAACACTTGAAAAAACCGAGTAATTATGAAAAATGAATGTGTTCAATGGCAAGTTGTATTGTCATCTTTGTTTTTTAATTGCCACAGGGATCAAGATAGTACAAATTATGGATTGGTACTACCCACTAATATTTATTTTATTAAATTAATATTTCTAGACTAGGTGTGGTAGCTCATGCCTGTAATCTCAGCACTTTGGGAGATGAGAGGATTGCTTGAGCCCAGGGAGTTCAAGACCAGCCTGGGCAACACAGTGAGACTCCATCTTTACGAAAAAATTTGTTGTTAAATTAGCTGGGTGTGGTGGCACACACCTGTGGTCCCAACTCTACTCGGGAGACTGAGGTAGGAGGATTGCTTCAGTTCAGGAGGTTGAGGCTACAGTAAGCCACGATCGCACTTCACCCTCGGTGACAGAGTGAGACTCTGTCTAATCAATCAATCAATCAGTCAATATTTCTGTCAATAAGCATGAAAGAAAACATGGACACTAAATCTAAACTGTGTGTTTTAAGGCCTGTGCCTATTTTTAATACCAAATTCTTAGCTATATAAGAGTAGCTTGCAAATGAGATGAGGGTGAAGGCAAAGTTTGGCTTGCTCTAAAAAAAGAAGAAAAAAAGGAACCATTTCGGATACATAGCAAGCACATTTCATTATTGCCAGGAAGTTCTAAAGAGGACTGTCAATGACCTACTATTATTAACTAACATTTACAACTTAAGACATGTTTCCATTCAAAATAGTGGAAGCAATATTTGAAAAGA